CTAAAACCAGGAAACATTACATTCACTCTAAAACCAGGAAACATTACATTCACTCTGTGGTTAAAGTTTTTAAAATTTTTAACAACTTTCTTAAACTATCCTGGATTTGTACCAAACTTGGACATAAGCTTGTTTATGATTAAAAGCTAGTATCTAGAAGGAAATTTTGTTAAAATTTTGTTCCATTTTTTCCGTATTTTACTTATAAATGGACTTAGTTTTTCTTCCAGTTAACATTACATACAGTCTGCAGTTAAAGTTTTTAAAACATTTATTAGATTCATAAACTAGCCTGGATTTTTACCAAACTTGGACAGAAGCTACTTACAATCAAAAGATAGTATAGAGAGGAATATTTTTTATTAATTTTTTTCCTCATTTTTGTTGAGCCTGTGATTAACAGCAAAAGTAGGCGAGACACTTGGTTCTGCGGAACCCTTATGAATTTTTTTCTTTAAAATTTTCCATTTTAAATTGGTTATTTCTGATTTATATATAAAAGCAAATAATAATGATATGGTTTGAATAGGTAAATTAAAAATTTCTAAGTTCTTAGACCACATTCATTCTGTGTCAGAAACCTATGCTGTGTCAAATATTTAATCACAATCCAAATTTAGTGCTGTATCAAGCTTGAATGTTGTGCCCATCCTTGCCCCAACTGTTCAGGGTTCGACCTCTGCAGTCGTATCAAGCTGCGCCCAGCGGAGCATTTTATTAAGATATAAGGCAAAAACGTAAAAAATTGGTAAAAAACGTCATCAAAGGGCAATAACTCTAATAAGGAGTAGTCTGAAGATTTCGACCATGTGACTTAATTGTAGATCTTGTCTTGCTGATAATTTTGGCAATTTAAAGTTTCTCTGTATCTATTATAGTTATCAAGATAATAGGCAAAAATGAAAAAAAAAATGGTAAAATTTGTCATTTAAGGGCAATAACTCCTATAAGAAGTCCCCTAACAGTTTTGACGTAATAAGACAATTGGTAGAGTTCAACATACTGGACATTTTTGTCCTGTCAGATTTTCTCTATTACGGTTTTAAAAATATTAGACAAAACTTGCATTTTGCACCTATGTTCTATTTTTAGCCATGTCGGCCATCTTTATTGGCAGGCGGGGTCATTGGACACATTTTTTAAACTAGATACCATAATGATGATTGTGGCCAAGTTTGGTTAAAGGAGTAGGTCCGGTAAGGGCCGATTTTGGCCTCAAAATTCAGGTTCATCTGATTAAAGATTTTGGACACTTTTTAAACACTTAAGTGTCTACTTCCGTAGATTCAGTTAGTTTATGTGAAAGATTTGAACTGATTTAGTCATTATAGACGCTCAAATTCAAGCTTAAATATGACAAATCTATCAAATATGCCATAATATGTCAATTTTCAGATGGTTTTTGTCAAAAATGAAAGTGGCCGCATCCGTGTTAATTCTCAACCTTTATATATGTTATGTATTATCATCAAATACAACTTACATTTAAATATTAAGAATGAACACAAATGCGGCCACTTCCATTTCAGACGGAAACCGTCTAAAAATTAACCAAAATGCTAAATTTTTTCAGTAATTTAGCAGGACTTAATGATGCTAGTACCCAAAACATGTGCATTGTATAGTCAAAAACAGCCCATATTTATGTAACAGAAGTATTCTTCTTTCCAATGAATAGCTAAAAATTTACATTTTAACAATTTTGTAAAACTGCTATTTTTGGGGCCAAAAAGGGGTCTTACTGGGCCTACTCCTTTGGTCTAGTAGTTTCAGAGGAGACGGACGCCAAGTGATGAGAAAAGCTCACGGCTTGGCCCTTTGGGCCAGGTGATCTAAAAAAACAGTCACCTCAAAACAATCAGCACATCATGATAAACCATTTCTTCTAATCATGACCATCAATCAAATCCTAACATTGCTGTCAGGACATTCAACATTAATCATACATTATTTACAGACATACTTATTATGCATGGATGCTATTGGCAATGGGACATTTGAGGTATTTTTATACGACCGCAAAAAAATTTGTGGTCGTATATTGGTATCACGTCGTCGGCGTCGTCGTCATCCGAAGACATTTGGTTTCTGGACAATAACTTTAGTAAATGTAAATAGAAATCTATGAAATTTAAACACAAGGTTTATAACCACGAAAAGAAGATTGGGATTGATTTTGGGGGTTATAGTCCTAACAGTTTAGGAATAAGGGCCAAAAAGGGGCCCAAATAAGCATTTTTCTAGTTTCCAGACAATAACTTGTGGAACGGTGTATGGATCTCTTTGAAATTATACCACAAGTTTTCATACCACAAGGGATGGTAAGGATTGGCTTTGGGGAGTTATGGCTCAAACCGTTTAGGAATTGGTTGGAAAAACAAGGGTTTCCTGGTTAATGGACAATTAAAAAAAAGTACAATGTTAAGTTTGGATTACCTCCCTTACACTGCTTTGAAATTATGTATAAAGAAATGTTGTATTGTCTTGAGGTGATTAGCTGTCAATCTATTATTAGAAGTTACTATTTAAAAATGCTGATTAAGGAATATTTAACATATTAATTTTAGCCATGATTATGTATGTCATGATCATTTTCTATTTTAAGACTTTTATAATGTATTTAAATGGGTAATTATGGTTGCAAACTCCATTGGAAATTTGAATTGAGATTATGACCATATCTTGAGGGAAAGAATTTTTTTTTTTTGGAAAAAGGGGGGGGGGGGGTGAAAAAAAACTGGGAGGGGTGGGGGGGAGGGTAAAAAAGAAATTGTGAGGGGGACAATTTTTTCTCATTTCAGATTTCCGAAATTAAAAAGAAAATTTCTTCAAATATTTTTTTTTTTTTTAAAAGAAAGGGGGGGGGGGGTACATTTTTTTTTGGGAGGGGGGGGGGTCAATTCGCAACAGCATAGTGCATTGCACAAAAGCAAAAAATTGAACATAAATTCAAATCATATAACCAATTCTAAGTTCTTTGACTACAGTTATTCTGTGTCAGAAACCTATTATGTGTCAAATATTTAATTACAATCCAAATTCAGACCTGTATCAAGCGCGAATATTGTGTCCATTTTTGCCCCAACTGTTCAGGGTTGGACTTCTGCGGTCGTATCCAGCTGTGAAGCAATTTATTTTGTTGAGATTTCCTAGTAAACACAAGGTGCTACAGTTTTAATTCCCCGCCTCCATAATCGCTCCAGACAACCAAAAAAGAATCAGCTGGTTTGGGTTGAAGTGTCTAAACCAAGTGTTACTTCGGGAGAATGTGGCTTATGTGGTGAAAACGCTGAAAATGTTGCACACAGATGTGTCATTCATCTAAATTAATCAGTAAGGCCACCCCAAAAAACTAGAGAATATTTTGCAATGTGACTAGCAAAAGTTCAAATGTTATTTATATTCCAGAATTTTGCGTGTGGGGCCTCCAATATGTCAGTCATTCTACAATAGCCTCAATGGCAATAGGAGGGATGCTATCCCAAATAAACTGTATCTCCCAGTGAGCAAACACTTCAGACAGTCGGGCAACAACTTCGATGGCTGTAACTGCCCGAAAGCATTAGTGATTAAACACAAACAAAATGGAATGGTGCTCACCGTGTAGTGGGAAAGCCTGAATAACAGAATTAAATCTGCTTCATCCAAATGGCACCAATAAAATGATATTGCACTTTTCACTTTTAGATGTGTTCATCATTTTTAACAGAGACATATTATATGTGTGTGGTTATAATTTTGGCTGTATATATATTTATGTATATTTGCACATACTACTATACCTTTTGATATAATATGATGTCTAAGTAAACACTATACCTTTTGATATAATGTGATGTCTAAGTAAACATTAAATTTCAGTTACAGTTTCTGTATTTATGCTGCTTTAACAATGGCCAGCAGCGATTTATATTCCTATGTGCGCATGGCTAACCCTATTTAGTTGGGTTAGTTTTCATCATACCTTTCTTATCAATTTTCCAGAATTCAAAATTATTCTAGATTCAAATAATTTCTTGTTTTCTAATGAAAGTCGGTGTGCGATTCATATAAACTGTAGCATCCAATTGTTAACTTGTAAACAAGAGGCAGAGATTCACATAAACTGTATCATCCAATTTTTAACTTGTAAACAAGAGGCAGAGATTCAAATAAACTGTATCATCCAATTGTTAACTTGTAAACAAGAGGCAGAGATTCACATAAACTGTATCATCCAATTGTTAACTTGTTAACAAGAGGCAGAGATTCACATAAACTGTATCATCTAATTGTTAACTTGTAAACAAGAGGCAGAGATTCACATAAACTGTATCATTCAATTGTTAACTTGTAAACAAGAGGCAGAGATTCACATAAACTGTATCATCTAATTGTTAACTTGTAAACAAGAGGCAGAGATTCACATAAACTGTATCATCCAATTGTTAACTTGTAAAAAAAGAGGCAGATATTTACATAAACTATATCATCCAATTGTTAACTTGTAAACAAGAGGCAGAGATTCACATAAAGTGTATCTTCCAATTGTTAACTTGTACACAAAAACTGTATCATCCAATCGTTAACTTGTAAAAAAGAGGCAGAGATTCACATAAACTGTATCATCCAATTGTTAACTTGTAAAAAAAGGCAGAAGATACATCAGGCAAACAACATAGAGCATCATGAACCCAGCCAATAACTGGGGTGATCTTTTAAAAGTGCTCCGAAAGGGTAAGCAGATCCTGCTCCACATGTGTTGCTCCTAGCAAGTACAAATCTCATGACAAGTCTCATTCGGTGATGTCACAATCTAGGAAAAGTGGACGGGATTATGGCTACGTGGGACATAACTCTGTAACTGTATAAACAAAGTATATAATTTAAACATGCGTTGACAAAAGAACAAGTCTGAATGGATTTTCTGAATTTTTAATATAATCGATGCTATTAAAATTCACGGTGTTGAGCAATTGAATGTCATCTCAATATTAAAGTAAAGATCAATTTTCCATGATCCATAATATCTACCTGTTTATGTTATTGGAAAACATGGAATTATATCAACATTAAAGTAGCGAGTTAATAATGGAGCGCTAACAGAAATTGTGAGTATACATTGATAGATTGCTTTCATGTTTTAAATTTACTTTACTTTTTACTTATAGTACGGAATATCTGATATGTTTTGGTAACTAAGGTTTTTAAAATTATTTATAGACTGTGCAAGGGAAGTATTATATGTCTCTGGCTATGATATTGATGATAACTACATTTGTCTCTTATCACTGATTTTTATCTTAATTTCAATTTGCTTTTGAATAAAAGAGAGATGTGGGGATATGTCAACGAGACAGAAACCAGACAACACAAACAAATAAAAGTTATCTAGGGTGCAACACACGGTTCTAAACAATAGACAGGTGTCTTTACGAAACCCCCAGGTCTCAATCGCCCCAAAATTAAAAAAAGAAGCGAATAAAAAGGTTCTTCAGTTAGGTAAATGTCGGAGAATCTCTATTCTCATTTCGGTCCAAAGCATCTCGATTATTTTTTACAATATGAATGTAAAAAAATAAGGAGTGTCTGTATTATTTAAACACTATTATAAAAATAAAAATAGCAAAAACCTATATAGGACTTAAACCTAGCCAACATAATTCAATGTACTGACAATTCTCTCTCAACTGACCTTGATCTAAACATAGGATGTAAGACCTAGCCTATTTTATAAATTGATTTACATTAAGTGAACTGTTTACAGTAGAAATATTGAAACCCTATTGATTGACAGACAACATGGCATAAAATATGTCTTCATCACCTCACGACGTATTCAGAGATTCTCGTTTGAATTGTTTTACATTCCACATGTCGGAGCCTTTTATAGCTTGCTATGCGGTATTGGTTTTGGTCTCTGGTTGAAAAATGCTCCATTGGCAGTCATACCACATCTTCCTATTTTTATACAGCGGACTTTATACTATTTAGACTGTTCTGATCCGTACACGGTTTTGATGCTATTAAATGTTTATATATTTGACTTCGCAGACATACGACACGGAGTCTATTTGGTGATTGTGTTTTAAGAAATATATTTTTGCGCACTGATTCGATATCATACTCCTTCGTATAACTTTAATAAAAGAAAAGTTCTAGTAAAGTAAAGCTGCGAACTTTAAAGGAGAATATCTAAAACAGAGTAGCAAGGCAGCATGTTATTCCCGTGTTTAAGGATGATAACAGCACCGAGTTCGCGGGAATCTTTGAGTGACTAGAACCGACTCTCAACATCTCATCTTGAACCTGATCACGTTCCAACAAATGCATACATCATATTATTGTATTAGATATATTATAGTATATATCAAACAATTTAATATTTCTTTGGTGCCTTTATATTGCTTAAATGTTGTAAAAATGGGAAAATCTCACGATAATTGTTCGTGATAAGCCTTTACTTTATCAAAAACTCAAAATATTGCGAAGCACTTCATTGTTTGTCTACAGGAACAATAACAGTTTTGTCCTGAAGTTAGTTGTCCTACAGATATCTATAAATAATTGAGTTTTTGAAGATATGTGAAGTATGTAAATGAAAAAAAAAACACGTTATAGTGTGTCCTAAACGTTTTATAATACTTACCTTATAAGGATGGTGTGTCCTAAACGTTTTATAATACTTACCTTATAAGGATGGTGTGTCCTAAACGTTTTATAATACTTACCTTATAAGGATGGTGTGTCCTAAACGTTTTATAATACTTACTTTATAAGGGAAGCTCAAAACAAAACAAAGTTAAAAGCCAAGAATGCATAAATACTTGAGAAGCTTTAAGACAAAAAGGACAGTAAAAAAACATCCAAAGCCAAATTTGCCTGACGAAGTTTAAACCTTTTTTTAATATCTTTAATCAACGAAAACATACTGAATGTATGTAAATTAGTCATGCCAGTGCTATAAGTTAACTATGTTTACATCATATTGAAGTTCCGAAATCTTTCACCTCCCTATATTTTGTAAGACAGAACATGTCAACTACAACTCCTCAAGCTTGAGAAAAGCTTTTATTGGAAAATTGAAAAATAAAAAAATAAAAGAAATAAATTGTTTTAATTTTGGTTATACAAAACCTGTTTTTGGGTCTTTGGCACACACATTTGTCATAATCTGCCCGTGTTTGTAAATTAAGTTGTTAAACTTTGAGGATGAAAAGCACTTTTCAATGACGTTAAGGAAAATACGAAAAAAGGAGTTCATGTAGATACGCTAAAATTCCGAATTGTCTTATTAAAAAAAATCAATTTCACTGAAAGCTGTCATCACTTTGTTTGTCTGTAAGAAGCTACAGAATACTCATATAGAGGGCCTTGTCATATTGTTGTGCTGACAGGTTGATCAAATTGATAAATGAAAAAAGTGTGTTCAGCAACAGTTGCTACTAGGTATAAACATTTAATAATTCTATCAGAAGCTGTGAAAGGACTGTGGCCCAAATATTTGTCTATAGCTATATCTCAGAGCATACATGTTTGCTTTTATTCGTGAAATATCGTTATATTTAGAAACCGTTTACAGTGTGAATACTGTCTAGGTTTCTTAATTTGATAGCAGTATATGACAAAATAAACAGATCAAAATCTTCATTCTAAAAATAAGATAAGAAGATATGGTATAATTGCCAATAAGACAACTTCCACCAAATGACGTAGAATTAAGCAACCATAGGTCAACTTATGGCCTTCATCATGAGCAAAATGTCCATTTCTCTTTTTACATGCTGACATTTGGGGTTATGACCAACTTCAGCCAAAGAAGCTTTAAATGTCTTGTTGAAAGGCATGTTGCAATATATGGGTATTGAGCAATTTTTATACGCCCGTTTACGGGACGTATCATGGTATACCGTTTTCCAAGTATTATCAATGTATTATCTATGTAAAAACTCAAAAATACACAAGTCTTTGGATCAAGATAATGTTTTTTTTCACAAGAGCATTTCATGAACTGCATTTACACAAAAAATCTATCTCAAGAAATATTTAGCGATGATGCAACTTAAAAATGAATTGAAAAACGTAATGGTTCTATAAACACATATGTAACATCATCTGACTTCAAAGACCCAAATCTTGCTAGACACTATTTTTTCCAATAGTTCTTAGTTCGGTAAAATTATTTGAATCAAATGAAAAATTATATAATTATCTTATACTCGAAAATGACTGATTTCTCATTGTATGTTGTTAGTTTCATTCAGTGGCGGATCCAGAAATTTTCATAAGGGAGAGGGGGCGGGGGGGGGGGGGGGGGGGGGGGGCACTTACTGCCTAAGAGGGGACCCGCTTCAGTCATGCTTCAGTGATTCCCTAAATGATCAACCAAATTTTTCCCACAAAAGGGGGGCCCGGGCCCCCTGGAAAACCCTCTAAATCCGCCTCTGTCTTTTTCTGTTTTTATTGGTTCTATTCGCTTGTATCATTTTACTGTAATAGAAGGATGTTGTAAACTCTACCTTGTTTACAGATCAAATTTAATGTTTTCTGTCCAACACAATCCTGTTTCTTGACTCTTTTATTTTTAATGAGAAAATTAAAGTCAATTTTAGTCCCAAATAAATAAAGTCGCTGTAGAATGCAGGTAAGTGTCAATAAAGGTACAGTTTTCTCACGATTTAGTGCAAAAAAGATAAAGATAAACAACAAAAAGATCTCACACCTTCGTTGTCGTTATAAATCTGATTTTATTTGAAAAGGCTTCTTCTTTAGGATAATAAATGATATAATAACTAACACAATTTTATGTTATAGGAAAAAAGAAAGCCATCAGAGCAGCTTATATAACAATCTGAAGTTCACAAAATCCAACCAACGTACTTTGATGATAAAAGTGACCATAAATTTGACAGTAATAAACTCACCAATAAGAAAGACACCATTCGATTCCCGTCATCTATAATTGTTGGTAAGTTCTAATTATGTCAGTAAATCTTATGCAATCTTATGACTTACTTAGACACTGTTAAACACGAAAAATATACGACCCTCTCCTTAAGCCTTTCCATTAGATTTGAGTGTCTACGAGATTAAGAAAACCATTTTGTATTCAAATAGTATAATCAATATGTTCTAACACAAAAACAGAGAGGAATAGGAAATGAGGTATGCAAAGAGCCTTTGAAGAATAGGAATAGAGGTATGCCAATAGCCTTTCAGAAACAGGTATAGAGGTATGACTATAGAGCTTTAGCTAAACAGGAAATGCATCGATTAATATCTGGCAATAGAGGCAAAAAAGAAGTCTTAGCATTACAAAAAAGCGCCTCCATTAAAACCTAGCAATAGAGGTATGACATGAGCCTTTATAGAATGTAAATAGAGGTATGACAAGAGCTTTTGTAGAATATGAATAGAGGTATGACAGGAGCCTTTAAGGAAAAGAAATTGATGTGAGACATGAGCCTTTGTGGAATAGGAATTGAGGTGAGACATGAGCCTTTGTGGAATAGGAATTGAGGTGAGACCGCAACCTTTTGTGGAATAGGAATGTAGGTAAATCAGGAGCCTTTGTAGAATAGCAATAGAGAAATGAAAAGAGCCTTTGTGGGATAGGAATAGAGGTATACTAGGTGCCTTTGTGGAATAGCAATAGAGGTATGATAGGAGCCTTTGTGGAATAGCAATAGAGGTATGACAGGAGCTTTTGTGGAATAGGAACAGAGGTATGACAGGAGCCTTTGTGGAATAGCAATAGAGGTATGACATGAGCCTTTGTGGAATAGCAATAGAGGTATGACAGGAGCCTTTGTGGAAAAGCAATAGAGGTATGATAGGAGCCTTTGTGGAATAGGAATAGAGCTATGACAGGACCTTTTGTGGAATAGCAAAAGAGATATGATAGGAGCTTTTGTGGAATAGCAATAGAGGTATGATAGGAGCCTTTGTGGAATAGCAATAGAGGTATGACAGGAGCTTTTGTGGAATAGGAACAGAGGTACGACAGGAGCCTTTGTGGAGTAGGAATAGATGTATGATAGGTGCCTTTGTGGAATAGGAATAGAGGTATGCAAAGAGCCTTTGAAGAATAGGAATAGAGGTATGCCAATAGCCTTTCAGAAACAGGTATAGAGGTATGACTATAGAAATTTAGCTAAACAGGAAATGCATCGATTAATATCTGGCAATAGAGGCCAAAAAGTAGTCTTAGCATTACAAAAAGCGCCTCCATTAACAACTAGCAATAGAGGTATGACATGAGCCTTTATATAATGTGAATAGAGGTATGACAAGAGCTTTTGTAGAATATGAATAGAGGTATGACAGGAGCCTTTGTGGAAAAGGAATTGAGGTGAGACCGCAACCTTTTGTGGAATAGAAATGTAGGTAAATCAGGAGCCTTTGTAGAATAGCAATAGAGAAATGAAAAGAGCCTTTGTGGAATAGGAATAGAGGTATACTAGGTGCCTTTGTGGAATAGCAATAGAGGTATGATAGAAGCCTTTGTGGAATAGCAATAGAGGTATGACAGGAGCTTTTGTGGAATAGGAACAGAGGTATGACAGGAGCCTTTGTGGAATAGCAATAGAGGTATGACAGGAGCCTTTGTGGAATAGCAATAGAGGTATGACAGGAGCCTTTGTGGAATAGCAATAGAGGTATGATAGGAGCCTTTGTGGAATAGGAATAGAGCTATGACAGGAGCCTTTGTGGAATAGCAAAAGAGATATGATAGGAGCTTTTGTGGAATAGCAATAGAGGTATGATAGGAGCCTTTGTGGAATAGCAATAGAGTTATGACAGGAGCTTTTGTGGAATAGGAACAGAGGTACGACAGGAGCCTTTGTAGAGTAGGAATAGATGTATGATAGGTGCCTTTGTGGAATAGGAATAGAGGTATGCAAAGAGCCTTTGAAGAATAGGAATAGAGGTATGCCAATAGCCTTTCAGAAACAGGTATAGAGGTATGACTATAGAAATTTAGCTAAACAGGAAATGCATCGATTAATATCTGGCAATAGAGGCCAAAAAGTAGTCTTAGCATTACAAAAAGCGCCTCCATTAACACCTAGCAATAGAGGTATGACATGAGCCTTTATAGAATGTGAATAGAGGTATGACAAGAGCTTTTGTAGAATATGAATAGAGGTATGACAGGAGCATTTGTGGAAAAGGAATTGATGTGAGACATGAGTCTTTGTGGAGTAGGAATTGAGGTGAGACATGAGCCTTTGTGGAATAGGAATTGAGGCGAGACCGCAACCTTTTGTGGAATAGGAATGTAGGTAAATCAGGAGCCTTTGTAGAATAGCAATAGAGAAATGAAAAGAGCCTTTGTGGAATAGGAATAGAGGTATAATAGGTGCCTTTGTGGAATAGCAATAGAGGTATGATAGGAGCCTTTGTGGAATAGCAATAGAGGTATGACAGGAGCTTTTGTGGAATAGGAACAGAGGTATGACAGGAGCCTTTGTGGAATAGCAATAGAGGTATGATAGGAGCTTTTGTGGAATAGGAATAGAGGTATGACAGGAGCCTTTGTGGAATAGGAATAGAGGTATGACAGGAGCCTTTGTGGAATAGCAAAAGAGATATGATAGGAGCTTTTGTGGAATATGAATAGAGGTATGATAGGAGCCTTTGTGGAATAGCAATAGAGGTATGACAGGAGCTTTTGTGGAATAGGAACAGAGGTACGACAGGAGCCTTTGTGGAATAGGAATAGATGTATGATAGGTGCCTTTGTTGAATAGGAATAGATGTATGATAGGAGACTTTGTGGAATAGCAATAGAGGTATGAAAAGAGCCTTTGTAGAATTGGAATTGCGGTATGACAGGAGCCTTTGTGGAATAGTAATAGAGGTGAGACAGGAGCCTTTGTGGAATAGTAATAGAGGTATGATAGGAGCCTTTAAGGAATAGTAATAGAGGTGAGACAGGAGCCTTTCCTTTTGTAGATAAGGAAAAGAGGTATGGCAGAAGCCTTTGTGGAATAGGAATAGAGTTAAGAAAGGAACCTTTGTAGAATAGGAAAAGAGGTATATAACCGGAACTTTTGTAAAATAGCAATAGAGGTATGACAGATTGAAGCCTTTGTGTAATAGCAATAAAGGTATTACAGGAGCCTTTTTGGAATAGGAAAAGATGTATGCTATGAGCCTTTGTGGAATAGGAATAGAGGTATGATAGGTGCCTTTGTGGAAAAGCAATAGAGGTATGACAGGAGCCTTTGTGGAATAGCAATAGAGGTATGACAGGAGCTTTTGTGGAATAGCAACAGAGGTATGACAGGAGCTTTTGTGGAATAACAATAGAGGTATGACAGGAGCCTTTGTGGAATAGGAATAAAGGTATGACAGGAACCTTTGTGGAATAGCAATAGAAGTATGATAGGAGACTTTGTGGAATAGCAATAGAGGTATGACAGGAATCTTTGTGGAATAGCAATAGAAGTATGACAGGAGCCTTTGTGGAATAGTAATAGAGGTATGATAGGAGCCTTTGTGGAATAGCATTAGGGATATGACAGGAGCCTTTGTGGAATAGCAATAGAGGTATGACAGGAGCCTTTGTGGAATAGGAATAGATATATGATAGGAGCCTTTGTGGAATATGAATAGAGGTATGACAGGAGCCTTTGTGGACTAGGAATAGATGTATGATAGGAGCCTTTGTGGAATAGAAATAGAGGTATAATAGGAGCTTTTGTGGAATAGGAATAGAGGTATGACAGGAGCCTTTGTGGAATAGGAATAGAGGTATGACAGGAGCCTTTGTAGAATAGCAATAGAGAAATGAAAAGAGCCTTTGTGGACTAGGAATAGAGGTATGATAGGTGCCTTAGTGGAATAGGAATAGAGGTATGATAGAAGCCTTTGTGGAATAGGAATAGAGGTATGACAGCAGCCTTTGTGGAATAGGAATAGATGTATGATAGGAGCCTTTGTGGAATAGCAATAGAGGTATGATAGGTGCCTTAGTGGAATAAGAATAGAGGTATGACAGCAGCCTTTGTGGAATAGGAATAGAGGTATGACAGCAGCCTTTGTGGAATTGGAATAGAGGTATGATAGGAGCCTTTGTGGAATATGAATAGAGGTATGACACGAGATTTTGTGGAGTAGCAATAGAGATATGATAGGAGCTTTAGTTGAACAGGAAATGCCTCCATTAACACCTGGCAATAGAGGTTTTTTCAAGTTATTTAACAGAACAGGAAATGCCTTTATTTACACCTGGCAATAGAAGTATTTACAAGATACTTAACAGAACAGGAAATGCCTCCATTAACACCTGGCAATAGAGGTATTTATAAGATACTTAACGGAACAGGAAATGAATCAATTAACACCTGGCAAGAGAGGTATGACAAGAAACTTAACAGAACAGAGAATGCTTTACTCTGTAGATATATATGGACTTGTTTCGGTTGTCTTTCGGAGTGTTTTATTTCATTCCTTCTATTTTATTTTTAACATTTACAATCCCGTCCTCTTATCCTCGATTGTGGCATCATCAAATGAATTTCATCACCGAATGTTTACTTACCATGAGTAACACGACAGGTGGCACCAGTGGAGCAGGACCTGTTTACCTTTAAGGTGCACCAGAGATAAACCCCAGGTGTTTCGCAGTCTTTAATTTTCTTTTATTTTTTTTTAACTTGTTCGTCTTATCGTCGTTTTCGTTATTTGAAATGGCGTTGACAGTTCCTCTAGACTTGTGAGTTTTAAATGTCCCCTTAGTATCTTTCGTCTCTTTTTTATATAAATTTATCTGTAAAATAGATCTAAATCAAATAAATCAAAAGAACTGAATTAAAACAAAATAAATTTATATGCTAATTAAAAAGAATGAATAAATTATCAATAACGAATGATAGGTGCACGGAAAACATCCCAATCATCTAAACATTAAAAAACAAAGCCGGCCAATATTATGTTCTTTTCTGTCTACATCTATCAAATCTGTCTGTTTCAGTGATTTTAATCCAATTGTTATTTGAAATGTAGTTTAAAACTAATGTTTATTTGATGATAAATGACATGTTCAATGGCCGATAGATATTTTCTCCGTGTATAGCGAACTTTACGGGTGAATTAGTATGTATATATGTGAAAAATATCTATATATAAACACCTATAGTATATTTTTCTATTGTGTCCATTTAATTTTGAGTTCTATGTAAAGACTTCCTATTACTTTGTGTTTATTTGAAAAAAAATGTCTTACAGGAAGTGAAGTAAACAGAACTATAACAGGAGTTTGAAATGAAGCATCATTAACATGTATTTCCAGTTATTTATGTTTGGGATATGGATAGCTTATGTAACGTCGAACGGTAAGTAGATCATTATTACTCTGATTTCAAAAGTTACAATTTTTGAAATACAGACGAAGTTGCAATTTCTTTTGGTCCGCAACACCAAAATATTTTGTACCAGAATTCAACATACGTGTACATGATTTTTTATATGAGTTAGTTATGTAAATGGTCGTATTCTTAAGTGTTTTAAAATCAATTCCATGAATTATGATTATAAAGTTCATTTGAATTTGAATAGTGATTCCCTTACCATATAATTATAGTTCGTTCCTTCATTGGCTATACAGTTAAAGCAGTTTCTCTAATTTAAAGGTTTATGATCTAGTAGAGTGCTACTATGAAACAACAATGAAAGACAACGCAAAACAGTACCGAAACAACTAACTAATCTTGTCCGAAACAACGGACAATTGATATATAACATGTAAATCAAACAGAAACGTAAATCTATACAATATATATATATAACACATTGCAATGTCATTCCATTTAATGTGACTTTACGGTTAAATGACTGAGTAAAACGAAGTGAAATAAGATATAGTACATAAAGAAAAAACATCACGAGACATAAGTTAAAATGATAAGTGTTGTTTATATGTTTCATTTCCATGTGTTTACCAGAAGCATTGCATACATTAATTAATTAAATCAATTCAGCATTTAATAACAGTTAGTGTAGTATGAAACAGACTTCCATGCATTAAACACCTTTATCAGCTATGAACAAAAGTTCCGGTAGCAAAAACACATCTTGACCATTAAAGCTCCATCCATTAAATAAACGATCAAACATTCATAGTTCAGCTTAATGACTTTTACCTATTATAATTACATAAATATTGACATGTCGGGTCACATTTTATCGTTTATAATTATATCAACACACCAACATTTGTTGGAAGTGGCTGAATAATCGTGCCTATTTCTGAAATGGTGATGTACCAACTTCTTTTATTGCCATTGGCTGAATTGTAATTTTAAGGCTGACAATTTTTTAATTAAAATGTTTAATTTTTATCAGTACGTCAAATAATCTTTGAAAAACAAGTATTTTGTTTTCATACGTAAAATCTTTTAGACAAACTTTTGATTCCTGGAAACATGAAATATATTATTATAGAATTGATTTAAGTTTTTTTGTTTTATGAAATATCAATGTTACTAATTCAATGCATAGAATTTTGAAGAACTGCTTACATGCACACACATCTAAAACATGGGTTAATTCTCGTAGAATTGATATAAAATAAAAATAAAAATATATGATTAGTTTTCAAACGTACACAATTTTCCTTTACCTTTCATGCTAAGGAAGGAATACATACTGCATGATCAACGTCTTGGAATGTTTCACGTAATTATAGAAGTTTTAATGTTTATCATACGTAATCATTTAAAAACTATTTGTAGAATACAAAATAGAGTATGCAACAGACTATAAAAGAGAACAGGATAATTATGTTATTTCTTTCCATGATTATCGGAGAGAAAAACGACAAGTGGAAAACAGTTGGTCTCCAAGTACGACAGCACACACTAATCTGACAATTATACCAACAACACAAACATATAGTAATGTGACAAGACCAACAACACAGATACATAGTAATGTAACTAGACCAGCAACACAGATAAATAGTAATGTAACTAGACCAACAACACAAATACATAGTAATGTGACAAGACCAACAACACACATAAATGGCAACGTGACAAATAGGCCAACAACACAGATACATAGTAATTTGACTAGACCAACTACAAATATACATAGTAATGTGACAACACCAACACACATAAATGGCAACGTGACAACTAGACCAAAAACACAAATAAATGGCAATATGACTACTAAGCCGACGACCAAAGTATCAAGTATTCTGCCTTCTACAACAAATACACCAAGTACAACAAGACTGCCGTCTACAACAAAAGCACCAAGTACAACAAGAGAAGCCATATCAACAACAACTACTACAATTTCTAAAGAAACTACGTTTAACCCGCCAGAAACAACATACATAAAGGTTTGTGTTTATTTTTCATCTTTTTCAGGTTTAAAAAAAATTGGAATACATGTTATGGCATGTATTTTAACATTTGAACGAGCTATTTAAGCATGGTGAAACGAATATACATGGAACTATATGTATAAGATAAAGAAATGTAAGGCGTTAAACGAAACTTGTATATATGTCTTGGCTAAAATATTGTTATATACAGCAAAGCACATGTTTAAATGCTTTAATTGTAGGTGAACGTTTCACCATTGTCGGGTGTTTTAAAAGTTCCGGCTCTAGAACAAAGTTAAAAACAAAAATATTTCCAAAAATATCGAAAATTCATTATAGAAAGACACAAGACTGAGTCAACCAAAGAAAGATAAATATCCATACTGGCATATCTAAACAACACTGAAATTTGACAAAACTCAAGCAAAACTAGGCGTGAAATTTGGTGCTCAGTAAAAGTATGCATATCTCTCCATTACTTTTTTTATGTAAGTTTCTGGTATTAAAAGTTGACACATCAACGAAACATATCGTTCAATTACTGTGTCATGTTCAATCTACTTGTGATAGGGACCATAAAACTCCTTCAGTGATGACATCAGCCTGAATATAATCCTGTCTGTATTCCTCCTATCTGTAACAATCTTGGATGCACTCTACTTCAAAGGAATGCAATGAGTGACTTTATCTAAATTATTTTCAACAGGTAAACTAATTGCCTTTTGTTTCAGCATATCAGTTAGAGTAGAGGTCATTCTATTCATCGACAATTGAATGTGATTGAAAAGTAATAAAACATTTCCCCTTGTGGTATGATTGTGGATGGATTGGTAGCGTTCCGGGTGAACATTATATATACATAAATAGAGATGACAACCAATAGACAATAAAAAAAAACTTATGTAAATCTGAATGTCAGCATTTGTTTTGAACAATAAACAAGTATCAATACATTATACTGAAGTCTATATTGCATTTTGGTGTTTTGATGGGTTTTATAAGATTAACTAATAAACTGCGATTCACAACAGTAAGCAATCCAATATGTGATAAGAGGGGAACATCCCAAATAGGAATAACTGTCAGGTGACTGTATACAAACTGAACATAAATATGGTAAAGCATAAAAAAACATATGTTTTTAATCATTTATTTGCATACCTTACTCTTATCAAGCGGTTAAAGTATCGCAATGTTTTGGTCAATACAAAATCCTACCAAAAGGAATAGGTGCGATCCTGAAGTGTTAAGTAGTAAACCGACAACTTCGTATGCAACACCCGTCGTATTTCCCACCAAACACACGTTTTGAAATTATGTTACTTAGCAAGAAAAGGAATGTTCACTTCTTAAAAAATAAATTCGTAACGATTGTCATAAGTTTTGTTTTCAAACGTCTTTTGATGTACATAAGTGTCAATATGTAGCAGTCTACCGTTAATGACCGTATATTGACTTTTAGCGTTAAATTATCTATGTACTATCTCATTAAGTATTCAACATCCTTTTATTCGCGCTATATCCGTGTCAAAATCGTATTAAAACCCCCTAAAAATATTGTAAATCTCATCTAAAATTTCACATAGATGCATTCAGATCAAATAACAAAAAGTTAAACATTTAAAAATCGTAAATATATGCTGTTATAATAACTAAAATTTAAAAACTAAATTGACAATAAAGTAAAAACGTTGCCGGTGTACAAAATTCTTATCATCTCATAAAATCTGTCTATCTATATAAGTTAACTGACTTGAAACATTAACGTGCATGTAGGTTAAATAAGTACATCTAATTGACAAACGAATAACTTGATCATTTCTTTATTTCGTAGACTGTATAATTTTATTTTACCATGCTTCGGAGAACGTATAAGAGTTTTATGCAAATTTATGAATCATTATATGAAGCTTTTTGTGGAGTGAACACAGCGAACAAGATCAAAACGTTTCATTTATATTGTGTCGAGCAGCTGATATTTTACAATATCAATATGACGAAAATATGATAATCGATTGATCGATTTATATGTGTGTGTTTTCCATAATTAAAAAAAACATGTTTTTCTATGTTTCACAAGCAAATCGGTAGGGGACTTGATGAGTTCGGGTCAAACTTGTACACGTCAGTTCAAACAGTATGATGTCGGTTATAAGTTCGGGTCAGCATATTTAACGTCAAATAGCTTGATATATAATTTTATGAAGCGCTAAGATACAAGCAGAGGAGAGACCAATAATACGAATTTTAACACTTCTTCTGGGTTCATAAAGTAAAATCATGTGTACAGCATTAATATTTTTAAATGAATAAGTACTTAAAATGCAGTTTCATAATAATGCCGTACTTGGTAAACTTTCAATATTTTATTTTCATTTTTTGAAGAGAAAAAGTGTTTTACTTTTTAAGCTCAGTAAGCATAAGATATACATTTATTGTCTTGGATATTGTTTTTCGAGCAGGGACATGCACTGTCAAATCTCCGTTTTTTCTTCTATTAAACTGCAGTCATTAAACATTTAAGAAGGGGTAAACGATTTTCGAGAATGTTTATTTTAGGTATTTTTAAAAAAGTTCGTTATGAATATATTTGCTGTATTACTTCCTTTAAGATATATCCCAATTAATAAGAACGACTGTGTTTTTAGTGCTACATGTATTGCTATTGCTATTGCTTCAATCAATTTATTGTTCATTTGGTTTTGAATTTTACTTTTTTGTATTTATGAAAATCAATTATCAATGCCAGTGCCCCTAAGGCACTTTGCTGGAATAACCTTCAACAGAAGTCGACACTCGCCAAATGGGAGCTACAAAATCCAGAAGATTCTATATCAGCCAGACTCACTACAGTTTAACATCTCTCATTATTCTATTCCAGCAATCAATCTCTCACCATTATTGAACTCCACCCATTTATGTTCTATCCCTACAAACCAACCCTCTTCGGTTTTGAACTCCACACATTTGTTATTCTATTCCAGCAGTCCAACTCTCATAGTTTTGAACTCCACACCGTTATTACTATTTTTCTACTCCAGCAGTCCAACTCTCACCAGGTTTTAACTCCACACCGTTACGGTTATCACTATCATATTAGGTCGAATCTTACCAGTATTATACTGAACATTTTGTCACTCCATTTTCAGCAATCGAATACTTATCAGTACTACAACTCCACAGTTATTCATGATGGTAATGGCGTCTATTGGCATGAACTTGAAAACCATACAACTCACGTGGTCCTGTCGGATGCAAAATACTTATCATCAGCGGTAAATCATCTTTCTTATTTATCGTACATTTTACCTTTTACCAATGGGTACATGTTATGATAGTGTGCTCAGGCTGAGTGAAGAAAGTCGTGGGTTGTCTCTAGAGGAAAGGCAAACCAGAGAATTTAAAATTGGTATTTGCACCTTCTATTATAAAGTAATTTTGAAGTAGAACAGTGACTGAACGGCTCCCATTCTACATAATGTGTCTGAGTAGGGCTACATGACTCACATTTAAAAAAACAATCCGACGCAGTGTGTCATTCTAGGACTAAGGAGGGTATTTTTATACGGCATTAATAATCGTCCTGAATACTATGTTATATTTGTCACTGGTCGTTCAGTGTCCAGCCATCCAATATGTACACGTGTTATTATTGTGTACACCAACCTACTGCGTTACGAATGAAGTATAAAAGATTAGTTTCATCAGATCTGAAATTTAAATAAAAAATAAATTATTTTCTATATTGTTATAACTTTTTTTTATCATAAATCATTCGGTCAATACTTTTAGTCTGGTAGTAGTCTCAGTTTTAGTATATTTCATCATTAAAATTAAAAATAAAACACCAAACAGAAATACACAAATGTTGTTCATTGTCTACAATTTTATTATTCTCTTCCTTTAAGAATATACATTATTGTACTGATTACATATAAATTGAATGCATATTATCACTACAGTTGCTAACATGTTTTTACAGGGTTTGAACTTGCCATTTATAATGCCATTTTACGGTCACAATATATCCAAGGTACAACTTACAACAGGAGGTACGTTCAATGGTACCTTACATAACACTAGATATTAAAGGAAGGTTTACTTTTGGTGAACATGTCCAACACATGAAAAACTAAAAAATGATCATGACAAAAATTTAATCGTCAAGAGCAAAAAGAAAGCAATCAATAACAAACTGAGAAATCGACCTTGGTTCATTTGCTTTAATGTTTGAGAACGATGGAAATGTCGTCATTGTATTTAGCAGTCTAAAAACAACTACACATTTTACTTTCCTATAGAAAAGAGTAATTGAATCAAAGGTTCATCAAAATGCAAGGATGTATTTGAATATAAACTTTTATTTAAATTATACTTGTATTTGTTATATATTGGTTCCACTGTATCAGATTTATGTTGATTTCCTTTGTAGGGTTTATATACATGGCTCCATTCGTACATAAATTTTTGACCTATTCTCAGTATGTGGCTCCACTGATGGCGAACTTTGATACACAAACAGACAATTCCGATATATTGTATAAAAAATATAGTGAGTATCATGCTGTTTATCTGTATTTGTTGTTAAATGCTATTGTCAAATTGAACCCACTGTGATTGAACTACACGTTAAAAATAGGATGAACGCATGTTAAAGGTCTAAAGCACCTCAATTCACAAGGGTATAACCCAAAAAATGACGAAAATAGGTAGAATTTCAACAGCACCTTGAATGTTAAAAAGTGACGGAAACAATAATTAGTGACGAAAAAATATATAGAACTTTGACAGTGCCTCGAATGACCTCAAATGGCATAATTGAGGAAAACTATGAATAAATTTAATAGCATCTTCAATGTCAAAAGTGATTAAAATACTAGAACTAATAAACAGAACAGTAGGCAGCACCTCACAGGTAGGTCAACAGATGCTATCGCTTAAAATGTTCACACAGAAGGTAATTCTGATAGCATTACAACATGGAATGCTTACTTAAACTATATTGTATTATGACTGTAACAATACTTTATCCAGATAAAAACGCACATACACACACTATACATGATATATCTTTTTCAGATGACAGTGTAGTAATTGAATGGCGCAATGTTCATCTAAATGATCAGCGATATCGTAAGTCGTTGTTTTAAATAAAGTTAAACATCGAACTTGTCTGTATTTTCATAACATTCCGATAGTATGCTTGACTTTTAAGGTGAACATCCGATTGCTCTGTCATCATATTTTTATTGGGGAAAATTATAGATTGATTATACTATAAAGTAGTAGAATTTATCGATTTAAATCTAAAGAAGCTGGTAGTTCGACACATCTAAGCAGGTATGAAAAGCAAAATACGCACCTTTGAATTTTAAAACAGTTATGTTTCTAGCTTCATCAATTATGTTTATAAACAAAACAGTTTATGCGAAATCATAAGATCGTGTGGTCAACCTTAAAAGTCGCTTTTCCTTAAATTAATAAATACATTGTATTTTTTAAGGTGGAAGTCACATTGCTGGTAATTTCTCTATTCTTTCAGTTTTTTGTATTGATGTTTATTGTCTAGAAGGTCGGAATAGCATTTAATTTTTTTTTGCTTATTGACAACACATATTTTAATATTGCTCAGCAATAGTTTATTGAGAGTATTTATGAAAATTTTGAGGGTGTGACTACTTTTTCCCTATTTATTTCAATCACAAAGTCAATAGCGGGGAATAGAATAGACATCTTATACTTTAGGGGTAGCTGTAGTTTATGGTTTAGTTTACAGTTATATAAGGGTAAGAGTATAGATTAGTTTTGGTAGGGGTTAGGTTTTATGGTTAATGTTAGTGGTCATTTTATAGCTTTATATGGGTTAGATACACTATAGTAAAAGAAGTAGAATAAGAATATGTATTGTTCTCATAAGTTTATACAAATCTTCTGCAAATTCATCATTAACAGACAGAACAAAAATATGATAATTTATATTTAGACAATACGTTGCTTCACTTTTGATTTTATTTGAGTGTCGTTCCTGTTTTAATTACATGTTCAGACACACTTTGAGTTGAGGTTGAGTAAATTTTATGGTAAGGTCCAAGGATTTTTTAAATATTAATTTGCTGATGAAGTAAAAGGGAAATTGTCCTGACTATTCCGACTTTATATTGTCTTTGATTATTAATTGTTAGTTCTTTTATTTTCGGTGATTTCATTTGTAGTGAATTTTGTTGTTGTTGTTGCCTTCATTCGTGCATATTCATAGTCATAATTTCATAAAACTTAGTCAATGCAATAACAACAAGAGGCTCTCAAGAGCATGAATCGCTCACCTGTAATATTTTGCTTAAATCTTTCATCAATGATTATTTTTGCTTTTCAATATATATTGATGAGTAGCTTAAAAATTCCATTTAAATGTTCTTTGTATCTGTCATATTTTCTTCAAAACAAAAAAATGCATTTTACCCCTATGTTCCATTTTAGCCGTAGTGGCTATGTTCTTGACGTACAAGGAAATGAAATACTAAATTTATACTAGATACTTTGAAACTCATTCAGCCCAAGTTTGGCTGAAATTGATTCAGCAGTTTCAAAGGAGAAGATTTGTCCTTAAAGGGCAATAACTCCTTAAGGGGTCAATTGACAATTTTGGTCTTAGAAAACTTATTTGTAGATCTTACTTTGCTGAACATTTTTGCTATTTACAGTTTATCTTTATCTATAATACTATTCAAGATAATAACCGAAAACTGCAAAATAACTCATCAATTCAGGGGCAATAACCTAAAAATCAGATACCCGATTTGGCTGAGAATTTCAGAGTAGGTAGACCTTGACCTAATGAATACTTTAACTTCTTGTCTGATTTCCTTTAAATGCTGCAGTTTTCGACTTGTGTTCTATTTTTAGCCATGGCAACCAAGTTTTCTGAGGAAACAGAAAATAAAACGCAAACTTTATTCTAGATACCCTAAAGATCATTCAGCTTAAGTGTGGTTGGAATTGGTTCAATAGTTTCAAAGGAGAAGATTTTTTAAGTTATCTTAATCATTAATAATATTCAAGATAATAACCAAAAACTGCAAAATTTCCTTAAAATTACCAATTTAGTGGCAGCAACCCAACAATGGGTTATTAGATTCATCTGAAAATTTCATGGCTGTTAGAACTTCACCTAATGAACATTCCCTCCCATCCTCCCATGTCAGATTTGCTCTAAATGCTTTGGTTTTTGAGATATAAGCCAAAAACTGCATTTTACCCCTATGTTCTATTTTTAGCCATGGCGGCCATATTTTTTGACGAAACAGAAAATAAAACACAAAGTTTATTCTAGATACCCTAAGGATCATTCAGCTTAAGTTAGGTTGGAATTGGTATAGTAGTTTCAGAGAAGAAGGTGTTTGAAATAGTTTACACCGGACAGACGACGACGGTCGACGACAGACGACGACGGACGCCAAGTGATGGCAAAAGCTCACAGTTCCTTCGGAACGGTGAGCTAAAAATGTATTCATTTAACATAAAGTAGTAAATTAATTAAGATTGATAAAACGTTAAAATGCTACACTGATTGCCCATCGAAACAAATTTTACAAGGACTATCTAAGACCTATGAGATAAACAAAATAGACAAAATAAACAAAATAGCCCAAACCATTATCACATGACAACAGACAACTTCCAGACTTGGAACTAAAGTTCACGACACATGTAGTGGGGTTAAACTGTTTTTGGATAACCCGAATAATTCAGTCGTTATATTTCGCTGCTCTACGATGGTGACTTCATCGATCGATCTCGGAGAGGGATTGAATTATTTGGATTAGCTTTTGGGGGTAAGATTACACCCCTTTAATCTCGATTTGGAGACTAGTTAAATTGTTCACATCATTGTCCTTGGATATATATATATATATTAACTTTAGACATTTTTACGAATCCAGATATTGATATAATTGTTATTACTGCTTATAAGTATGGTAGTGAAGAATAGTAATTTGATCAGAGAAGTAACAAAAAAATAATTATATCTTGATATGTTTAAAAAAATTACCAACTTTCTTTTGCAGATGGCCAATTTAGATTTCAGGCCAAATTATTTCAAAATGGAAGCATTATGTTGGTATACAAAACGGTAAGTAATAGTAATAAAGTAATGGTACAACTAATTTGTCGAGTGTTGTAACCTTAAGCATTCTGTACCAAAAATGAAAACAACACGTTATAAATTTCATTCGGTCGAAGCTCTTTTCTGGATTTACTGACCTTCATCAGGAACGCTCAGTGCCAAATATATGAAAGCCAAGGATGTATAAGAACCGAAACAGTTGAAGAGCTATACGTGTACAAGAATTTTATTTGAAGGTTAAACTGGTATTACTATTACACGTCTTTGATTAAACTAGACAGATATAAGTATTTACACTTAGAAATAAGTCTAACGATGCCCTTGACACCTACCAATTTATTTTGCACCTATAATTTAGTTGACTTCATCATCTAACGATTTCCTTGACACCAACCAACATGTATGCCACCATTTCATGTCATTTTATATAAAACTGTTCATACTCAAGTATAACAAGCATCATTGTAATATTGTAAAAATATTTACCAAAACTAAAATTACCTATTGTTGACAAACAGACATGTCATTCTTAAATATGAAAATGTTGTTATGTTGTTCTTTTGTTTAGATTCCAGCACCCGTTATGAATATATCAACAGACAATCATCCTGTAAAACTTGGTATATCTGATGCATTCTATATGGATTACACACAAAATGGTGAGTTGTTTTGTATGCCATCATTAGATTCTAGTTGGATACATATTTTCAAATATCAAAATCAGTTACATATAGTATGATAATTGTATAAATGTATACACAATAATTGTGTAGTGTTACATATAGTATGATAAATGTATCAATAAATGTATACACAATATTTGTGTAGTTTCGTTGCTGTTTCATTGTCGCATACTTAGCATCTATTTTTTTTATATACTAGGGACTTTATGTGTAGCAAATGAACGAAACAGAAATGCAACAACAACTTGATGCAGATTAAAAGTAAAAAACCTAAATATTGCACGACATATTTTACCCTGTTGGATTATTTGATGTTGCGTTGTTCTTGTTTTCATTTCTATTTTTTATGTATGGTTCTTCTCATTATCTTTTAAAGTTTTGCAATGTAACTTTTTTTTAACTGATACAGATATTTGTATATTTGTTTCAATTGCTGTCAGTGGTGTAGCGGCAAAAATGTGCGTTTTCAAAAATTTTTAAAGGCGGAATCTTTCACCATTCGCGGCAAGTTTTGTTCTGTACAACATGTACAAATCAGAAATCATACCCCAGCTTAAAAAAATTAATTGTCATTTTGTATATATTTTCCACCAGGAAGATTTAAACGACAAAGCTGATCTCCTGTTGGTTGGAAATGTTATGTCGAAAAAAACACTTATCTTGCCGCTCTACTGATGTTTTCCCTCCTTTTTAAAGCATCTAATCACCGCCTCCGATCAGATATGAATACGGCTAAACTTTCAGAAGAACTATTTTATATTCATGTCTAAATGTTTCAAACATTGTAACAATGAAGTGAATTCTGTTTGTATTTATCAAAATAGACTTATATTAAAGTATTATTTTTAAAAATTAATTAGTAAAAATAGGCATAAATTTCAGACGGATACTTTTAAAGTATCATTCATGTTATTATTTTACGGTGTACGCTACAAACGGTTATCTTTAGTATTATTCATGTTTTTATTTTTCAGGAGTACGCTACAGACGGATATATAAGTATCATGCTGTCGACATTGAAAAGTCGTTAATAACCAATAATACAGTAGTTATTTTTCATCCTTTACCAAGTATGAAGATTTATGTAAATTTTAGTATTTACTTATAATTGATTTGTATAAATACAAGAGTGTACGTATATGTATGTGTGTTTCAAGGTATAAAAGCTCATGTACAGTTGATGAAATCGGCTTGATTTTGCATAACAATTCAGGTATATAATAGAAAAATTCAGTCAATATGATGAATAACTGTGAGACTTAGAAAGAGATAAATAGTAATTTTGATGTTTTCATAGATGGATCTAATTTCCACTAAATTTATTTTACACCAGGGATATTTCCAAAAGTGTGAATTTTGCGTTTCTAACAGCATTGAGCGTATTTCTGAACATGGCACCGAATTATAGTAAAGATGACAAAAGCTGCAGGTTTGAAGTATTTTGGCAAACTTTCAGTATTTCAAAAAACTAGAAGATCATCGTAGCCTTAATCGTATACCTGGTAAACTAACACCGTGTATTTTAAGGGGAGATTTTTGACAATTGGGGAAAACACAATCAATATCTATTCCTGGTGGCCATTTTTTCATCTGATCCGGAGCAAATGCCGATGATTTGCAGAAAACTATCCATACTCAATTCCTACAACGTCAAGTAGACTAAGATTAGATGACGAAACCTAGACTTTCAATGAGAGCTATGTACCACAAATGTCGCAATGTTTGACACACAATAAACATTAAATATGGACAGTATGTGTCTTCCAATCAACAACCTTCTACTTGTTTAAAACCGTTTGATTTGTAGTTGCAGATGCTTGATTATTGACCACTCAGTTTCAAACATTACCTCTTTTCCATCTAACCGACAGAAAATGAAGATGGTAAAAAGACTTTCCATATAATATGCATAAAAATTTTGATTAGAAATGAGCGAATGGTTTCAATGGAGTTTATGGAAACGTAGAACTTTTTAACTAAGAAAATATTGAACGACCATGCGCTCCATTATTTCTATAACATATGTTTTATTATTTTTTTGTTGAAGTGTATTAAGTCCTACAGAATTTCAGATGGGGATATAACGTTCACCTATTTTTCTATTGGGCTATATATATAGTTGTTTTATCATACCACATTAAGGCGTACTTGCTTTATTATGACATTTATAAAATGATTCGTTTCTGTTGTAAACAATATAATTTTTGTCACTTTCCGAGTGAAAAGTCGGGTCATTCACTAATACATTAGTCCTTCGCAGATTTAGAATTAGGTGTATAAAAAAGAGACATAGAGTCTTACCTTTACTTAATATAAAAAAATAAAACTCTTCATTAATTCATTATCTAGCTTCAACATATACACTTTGGATAAATAACTATACCTCTTGTAACCGGGAGGCACATAGTTCGTTTTAACAAACTAAATTGAACGTGATTGAAGTAATTTGAAACTTTATTGTTGAAAAAAAAAATAGATAAGATTTAAAGATTATTTCATCTTTTGTATTTAAGCATGTAATCTAGCAACTAGTTGTGACCATTGTGTATCTAGAGTTATAGATTTTGATTGTTCATGGTGTCCGAGCGTTAGGCGATGTTCTAATGGGTATGACTGGCATAGACAAGAATGGAGTGAATCAGAGTGTTGGGAAAAAGTATGTTAGAATACCAATAGTCATTCATTGTTCCTCTTTAAGCCATTTATTCCTGTTAGTTGTTTTATAATAATAATAATAATAATAATAATGTTTATTAAGATAAAGGCAATGTATACAAATACATAATAAGATTTAGAAACATAGCTAGATAAAACCTTAAGATATAGTAATGGGCAATGAGGTTCAAAATCATCATTGAATGGTTTTAAAAAAACATGCGGTTAGATTAAAAACTACTAAGTAACACCAAAATCCGCACTATGGCCTTATCTCAATAATCCAAGGTTATGTTCAGCCCACATGTCTTTTGACGGTAGCTAAATAATCCAAGGTTATGTCCGACCCACATGTCTTTTGACGGTAGCTAAATAATCCAAGGTTATGTCCGGCCCACATGTCTTTTGACGGTAGCTAAATAATCCAAGGTTATGTCCGTCCCACATGTCTTTTGACGGTAGATAATCCAAAGTTATGTCCGGCCCATATATCTTTTGACGGTAGCTAAATAATCCAAGATTATGCCCGGCCCACATGTCTTTTGACGGCAGCTATGAGAGAATAATTAGATGATGTTAGAAAAAACTGAAGATGTCAACACAATTGAAATCTACATTGTTCTACATGGATTCATGTATTAACTGCTTACTCTTTCATGTTGACTTTTTATAATTGCCTGTTTTTCGTGTCTGTCTATTTCTCACTTGTGTGGACGTTTAGACAAGACCGTATCAGCCACACTTCCTTTTTCAAATGGAAGATTCTTTCTACTAAACTTTTGACAATTAGAACTCTTACTTGTAGTATTATAGTATAGACGATTTTATGTATCAAAACCATAATTAGTCTTCATATTATCATTTAGCAATGCTTTTGAAGCTCTGTAGATTTTAAATCATTGTGATTGATAAAAGATCGTAATACAATTTATCTAAAAAATTCCAGAATTGTAACAAACCAAGAGCACGTGAAATCCTGCGTTTCAAGAAAATTCTCGGCAAAGTTTGTCTTAAAAATAATTTTCAGGTGGTTGTTGGTTCACTGCCTTGCAAAATGATTAAACGGTATCGCTAAGCTTAATTTATAAGCTGAAATGAAAACAAACAAAAATAAGACGAACAATGAAGTTAATAGAGTGACCATGAATTATTTTAAAATACAATTGATCATTTATATCTTACGATACTTTTTTCTAGGCTGGCAATACTACAGATATCTGTAAGGCGACAACAGTAGCATCAACTACAAAACTCACTACACAATCAACCACAACTACCATACCAACAAAACCACCGATAACAACTAGGACACCAAGTACATCTACACCACCCACAACCACCACAACTACGCCACCATCTACACCAAGTCCACCGACAACGGTAGCTTCAACAGTTATACCAACTACTCAGGCAACAACAAAAATTACACAAGTGGCATCAACCCCTTCAACAAAGACTACTACCATACCTACAACTTCGACTATTACTCCATCGACATCAACAACATCGACTTCTACTACTCAATCGACGAAAACTCCAACTACTACTAAACCAACTACAACTAAATCGACGACGACCCCAACTACTACTACATCGACGACGACTCCAACTACTACTAAATCGACGACGACTCCAACTATTACTACACCGACAACAACTCCAACTACAACTGTATCGTCGACTACAATATCGGTAAGGTATAAATATAAATAAATGTCAGAAATAAACAGTATAGGTATGTATGTTTGTGTGTTTGTAGCATGAGAAGATCTGTCAACCTTATAAGGTTTGGCTGTTATCTAAAACATTATAGGAGATTGGTTAAACATGTAAATTGTAAAAATGATCAGCAACACAAAGATCAACTATAGTATGGAAATATAAAAGTTCTTATAAGCCGAGGCGGAGGGGGCATTAAGGTTTACCCTTGTTCTTCCGTGCGTACAGATGTACGTCCTGAAATTGGTTTCCGTTCTCTTACTTTAGTTTGCCTCGACCAAATGTTATGAAACTTATACACAATGTTATTGACACCGAACACAGACCAACTTCGAATTTGGGTGGTGTCACTTTCACCGTTCCTGATTTATGTCCCTTTATACATGAAAAAATTTGTGAATTTGCGGTATCCGCACTCTTACTTTACTTTGCCACAACCAAATGTTCAAAACTTATACTTTTGTTTCCTTCTTTCTACAGGTATGAATTGCCGTTCTATATCGGCACACTCCTACATTGTAGGATGGCTAATGCGCTATACACAATTATACACCCGCACCCACTAAAAACTCATATCCAATAAAACATGCCATTTATTCACCAATTCATGCATATATATATATAAAACGGTAACGGTAAAATCGTGCTGCACATAAACTGTGTTGTCACATATATACATACATATTTTATTTACACAATTCTTATAAACGCCAAACACAGATCAAGTGCGATTATGGGTGGTGTCACTTTCAATTTTTTTTTAGTTATGTCCCTTTATAAATGGAAAAAATTGGTGAATTTGCCGTTTCATCACTCGTACTTTACTTTGCCTCAACCAAATGTTATGACACTTATACACAATGCTCAAATTAGGATGGCATCACTTTCACCGTTCTAGAATTACCCCATTACTGTATGTTATTAAACAATGAGAGCACCCAAACCCCCGAGCAATCTCTAATGACAACATACAAAAACAAATGTCATTAAATTTCAAAGAAAACAAAACGTCAATAAGTATGAATTAGATAATTGAATCTTGCATATTTACAAGCGGGGGCATCTGTGTTCCATGGACATATCTTTGAATATAGTTTACATTGACACACATATCGAAACATAACTAAATTTGTTCATTTTCTATGTAGTTTAAGAGATTACTCTATCTATATATTACATTATACATATTTAATAACAGGTTAACTCCTAAGTATCCTACAGCCTGTCGATACTTTTATTTTGGCATTGCACAAGTCATGTCTTCTTTGACTGTCCATGACGTTAAAACACTAAATACCTGGGATGTGTTTTAGTTGATTTTAGTGTCTGATGCATGATTTTATATTATTAATTGTTTTTGGCTTTTAACTAGCTTTCAGTAACCGCGAGTACTCTCAAATCGTACTTTCGTGTTAATTTGACCTGTTGATACAATTTGTAATGTATTTTTGTTATTTAATTTTTACTTATTCAGTTTTATATCTAGTCTCACTGTTTTTAATATATACCACCTTTGTTAAGTGTTTAGTATGACGATAAATTTTCACTTTTGTTCTCGTACTAGGAACAACAAAATTATTTATTTTGTAAAAATTATTTCCGTACTCCAAGTATACCTTACAACAAAATTATTTTTATTTACCTGTGTACGTTATTTTATTTGGCGGCATTTTATCCAAGGTTATGGTTGTCTTTCTGATATTGTTTTACATCTAACCCCCTTGTTTTATTAATTTTGCATTTACATTGTGTCATATATCAAATTTATTCGTTCAGTGTATGTTCACTTGTTTTTGTTAATATGTCTTTTGATTGAGTTAAGCCATTTCAATTGATATGTTAGTGTGTCTTTCTATGTTGTGATGTTACACTATTTTTTCAGGTAGGGTGAAGGTTGGCGCCGATTAAAACGTTTAAACCCGCTGCATTTGTTTGCACCTGTCCTAAGTCAGGAACCTGATGTTCACTGGTTGTCGTTTGTTGATGTGGTTCATAAGTGTTTCTCATTTCTCTTTTTTTATATAGATTAGACCGTTGGTTTTCCTTTTTGAATGGTTTTACACTAGTAATTTTTTGAGCCCTTTATAGCTTGCTGTTCGGCGTGAGCCAAGGCTCCGTGTTGAAGACCGTACTTTGACCTATAATGGTTTACTTTTACAAATTACGACTTGGATGGAGAGTTGTCTCATAGGCACTCATACCACATCTTCTTATATCTATACATTTCTTTTATTTCATCAGGAGAGCGATACAGACACAGGTGTGCCTCTTGTATTACTAATTGTAGTAAATGGAAACTAAAGTACAACAATGTATGTGTAAATAATTGTATAACGGAATTTAACCATTATATTTTTAGATGTCTGTAGATTCATTATTTTCTTTTTGTGAAAGTACAATTTTATAATAATCATGCATTTATTAATTTGTTTCAGTCACCAAATCAACCACATGTAGAACGTCATACACAAAGAAAAGGTAACAAAATTGACAGTTTAACATATTTTTCTTTTCTATACCCAGCAGCATTGCTAATGACAGCCTCCGGAAACTTCTTGTCCATCAACAGCTGTGACAGCTGTTAAACTTTATATTTATATTACAAGTTAGCCAAAGTTTGCTTGATACACTATGTGGGCTTTGAACATTTTGTTCAGAATTGACGAATATAAATAAAAAGGAACTAATTCTTATTTCAATAAGGGTTCAGGCCTTTCAACTTTGCAAAACTTGTTTGGCAATGGTCTGTGGTTTATTCCAGTGTGTTCCATAAATAACTTAGGTAATGGCGTTAGACACTAACAACAAACCAATAAAAGTACTATAGTTGTTATGTGAAATAGTAACTCAGATTCGTCAGACCAGCACACCTGCCTTTTTGTGGACTGGTTTAATGCTATTGTACAGTTAATAACTAATTTATTATTGATGTGTAATATAAGGCACATAACCAAAGGTATGATAAAAGATTTAAGTGTTATACTATTTTGCAGAATCGTATAACAAAGCAGCTGTGATTGTCCCTATTGTACTGTTTCTACTGCTAATTGTTGGCCTTGTTGGTAGTTGGGTATATTACGCTTATACACATCCAAATACTAGCGCTGGACAATGGCTTATAGAGGTTAGTATCATAAATGCAATAATTTAAATTTATAAATAAACCGTATGATATATTTACCGAACGTATGGCACGGTGTTACTGGAATAACCCACAATGGAATAACCCACAATAGGTACGGTCGATACCAGAAGTTTGAGCATTGATGATGTTTACACCAAGAGTTCCTTCTCTCTTTTATTAATATTAATTTTTGTAACTTTCAAGATTGCATATATGCGAAAGTAATAATGTTTTCCCCAAATATGTTTTTTTTATGTTCAGTTTTGCATGATGTTGAGGATTATTACCAGTTTACAACATGCTCGGTCGCCATTTTTATATTTGCCAGCAATTTGAATATCTATTGTTTATTGTATTGTATTTTTCATTTATTTTGAGGTTTGCGTTCACTTATTAGACACCGTTTATTTTATGTGTACTGTATCGTTATCAGGACGATCCGATGCCATCGTAAGAATGATCGTTTAAATATATTGACGGTCTCCCTTTCTCTCTATGCAAACACAAACAGACACACAAACAGACACACACACGTACATATGTTGAAAAGCTTTTTGGAAAGCAATCCTGTATGCCAATTCTTTATTTTGTATTTATTTCAGCATCGACCAAGTCAATTGAAATCAAGATTTTCCGATATGTTTAAGCGGAGTACGGAAACTGGAGAAAAGTATAAGGTGAAAAACGAGGACATTGAATTTAATATGGATGAGTCAGTTGCCTAAGGCAGTATGTTTACTGACCTGGTGTACATCCGAGATACATTCTCTGTACATGGAAGTGGAAGCACTTTTTAAACTCTACTAAATTATCTATGACGTGTATTATAGTATCGTATAATATTTTACTGATTTATGTACTTGTATAATGTACATTTTGATTATATTGGTTGGTGCTTAATGTACACGCACTACAAACCAGTAAAAGTCTGAAATGGCCTATATCTGTACTCGACTGTACTGATTTTTACTCGACCAGTCTGAATTGGTCTGAATTTTACTCGACATTACTTGACCCCAGTCTTAACCATACTCGACCGTACTGATTTGTACTTGACCCTTATCTTTGCCATTGAAAATAGTCTGAACTATTTCTCGACCAGTCTGAAACAGTCTTAACCCATTCTCAACCTGTACTCGACCAATTTTTTTCAGTCTTAACCAAACTCGACCAAAGGTCTGAACAATACTCGACCAGTCTGAACCATACTTGACCAAAAAACCTATACTTTTTTTAAAATTTTAGCTGTTAAAATTAATTTCTTTTTATCTGACATGACAACAACTACAATAAAATAAAGATATATATCAAAACATATTTTTACATCCTTACATGATTCTCAGATTTATCAAATAGAGATAGTTAAATAAAATTATCTGATATAATAATTTAATTATATTAATTTTAAAGTTTTAGAGTTTTGTTAAAAAAAAAGTTTTTTTTAACTAAAAACCACACCTTTACTGAGGGTAATAAAACCTTATTAAGGTGCTTCTTGTTTGGCATGTGTGTGTTTTTTTTGTTTATTTTAAACTTAATTTTCCCAAATTCCTAAAGAAAAACTGCATAGGTTTCATGGTTACATACAATAGTTATATAATTATCTTTTTAATGAGGTAACAACAGCCAAAAAATCACTGAAATTGTTTAACCTTATATTAGAAATATATCTATTCTTATTATTATGTGGGATATATTATATATATCAAAAAGGGATAAAAAAAAAAATAAAAAAATAGATAAAATTTTTCTTCTTATTAGTGGTAAAGTATAAAGTAATACCTCCTGCTTGGGGCAAACTCATTAAAAAGATCACACCTGGTCAGAGAGTATTAATTTCTAATTAACATTCATTAAAAATTGCAACATCTGTAAAACTTGAATCACAAGGCCTTTTGAATTCACTAGATAAGTAATACACGAGTTTAAGAAAAAAAGGGCTTTCTCTTTACCTGTAAAACACACATGTACTGAGGTAATTAAACCTTATTAAAGTGCTTTTTGTATGCCATGTCTTTAATTTTGACAAAAGTTATTTAAATTTAATTGAAATAAATTTTTTCTGCAACTTTGGAACACATTTCCTTTTTTAAATGGTTATCAAGGATTGCTATGGAAGTTCTATTATCTTGATTATATTAAATTCTTGGTTTTACAAAGCAAAGGTGTGATTTTTAAAATTTATTAAGTTGCTTTATAATACTATTTTAAATATATTTTAATAAAAAAAAATGTGCACTGCATTATTAATTTAACTCAACTGACACCATAAATCTATACCAGGCTTAAGTTAATGGTGAAAATTGTCTAGTAACCATAAAATATATCTGAAACATGAAAAAAAAATTGAATAACATTGAAAATAATAGTCACAATTCAGTTTTGAGATTATTTGATCAGCTTGTTTTATTTTTATTTTAAAGGTGATATATACATGTAAGTGTTGATAAATATGGTGTTGAATTTATATTATGTTTATTGTGAAATTTTGGTTTCAATGCCATATTGAATACATTTTAAATTTCAAATTGTTGTTCAAATTTCTAGCCAGGGGAAATAGCTGTTAAAAACAGTTCCTAAATTGATGAAATACAATAGATAGATACAAAAATTAGGTCTAGGTTTGTTAAGACTTAGTCGAGTATGGTTCAGACTAGGTCGAGTATGGTTCAGACTAGGTCGAGTATGGTTCAGACTAGGTCGAGCATGGTTCAGACGAAATTAAAATGGTTAAGTACTGGTCGAGTACAAGTTCAGATTGTTAAGTATGGTTCAGACTACAGTCGAGTATTATCAAGTAAATTTCAGACCAATTCAGACTGGTCGAGTAAAAATCAGTACAGTCGAGTACAAATATAGGCCATTTCAGACTTTTACTGGTTTGTAGTGACGTGATTGAAAGGTGATTCGTCAAGTTACTATTTGTATAAAGTTTATATAGTCCTAGGGTCTACACCGTATACGTTTATATAATCCTAGTCTCTACACCGTATACGTTTATATAGTCCTAGGCTCTACACCTTATACGTTTATATAGTCCTAGGCTCTACACCGTATAAGTTTATACAGTCCTAGGGTCTACACCGTATAAGTTTATACAGTCCTAGGGTTTACATCGTATAAGTTTATATAGTCCTAGGGTCTACAACGTCTGCATCATGTTTACTTTTTAATGTGTTCAATGTAGAGAGGATACCGATAGTTCTTATCAAAACAAACTTAAATTTGAATAGATGAACAAAGTCAATAAGGTTTCCTGGTTCGTTTTTCGGGGTAATGTTGTAATTATGTTGTTTTCAGTGTCATAACTCTTTTGAAACACTAAGGGTTATTTACCTACATGAATAAGTGACATAGACCTTTGAAACACTAAGGGTTATTTACCTACATGAATAAGTGACATTGACATGATTAAGCATAACTCTTTTGAAACACTAAGGGTTATTTACCTACATGAATAAGTGACATAGACATGATTAAGCATAACTCTTTTGAAACACTAAGGGTTATTTACCTACATGAATAAGTGACATTGACCTGATTAAGCATAACTCTTTTGAAACACTAAGGGTTATTTACCTACATGAATAAGTGACATTGACCTGATTAAGCATAACTCTTTTGAAACACTAAGGGTTATTTACCTACATGAATAAGTGACATTGACCTGATTAAGCATAACTCTTTTGAAACACTAAGGGTTATTTACCTACATGAATAAGTGACATTGACCTGATTAAGCATAACTCTTTTGAAACACTAAGGGTTATTTACCTACATGAATAAGTGACATTGACCTGATTAAGCATAACTCTTTTGAAACACTAAGGGTTATTTACCTACATGAATAAGTGACATTGACCTGATTAAGCATAACTGTTTGGAATATTTTGTTTATAATGCTCATCAACTTTGTAATTAAGGATGTACTTAGGTGAAATTAAAAAAAATCTAGATTTTAAAATTCATACTATAAGTCAGAAGAGCATTAGTTAAGGAACAAAATAAGCTAAAAATATTGATAGGTTATGGAGCTCCTTTTCGAGATATTTAATTTTTTTAAAATGGCGGAAAAAGGTTGACTCGGACTTTTACCTTATATTTGCATTGGTATTATTTGGGTCTCAAATCGGAAGAAAAGAAATCTAGAATCTACTTAAATTTTGGTAAATGACCTTTTATGAGCTATTGAAGTCTTATATGAAAAGAAATATGGGTGTTATGGGGCAAAATATTTTACCCTGTATTGTAGAAAAAAAACCAGAGTCCGAACATCTGACACAAATTCCTAAACCTGACCTAAGTACATCCGTTTTTCCAATTGTTTTTATTTATTCGAGCTTCATTGATGAGTCAAGTGCTCAATTATAAGACTGGTATTTGTTGCCTTTTTAGTTCAAACCTCAATTTACTTTTATACCTCTGTATAGTTTTATTGACAAAAATTGTGCGACCAACCCAAACAGACATAATTGGTTAATGTGACAATATACCCATTGGGATCTAGCAACCAAGATTACTTCTAAGTGGTCTTCATCTTCTTTCAAATGTTTTATTTTTATAAACAAATTTTATCTGCTTTTCCGATGTAAAAATAAAATGTAATATGACGGCTACCCAAATCTTTAATTGAAATTATGCTATGACATATTAAGGGGTCGTTAGTGAATCGGGGACAAAAAAGTTAAAGTATTGGTAACAAAAAAATCGGATAGCAATTTGAACGAAGATCTTAAGCATCCTTATTGTTCTTACTAAAATTTCGTTTGAAATTGATAACACAAGAGTTGAAATCAAGGTCGGTAGTTTTATGTAAAGTCATAATAAGATTCTACATGAAATGTTAAATCATGTTTGTTTTTTTGTTATACTGGTAATGATATATACTTGTAAATAAAATTAGAATAGAGAATGGAAACGGGAGATGCGTCAAAGAGACACAAACCTCATCAAAGAGCAGACGAATTAATTCATTAAGCGAACTACGAGTTTTATACTTTTATACTGTTACAATTCCGTTTAAAAATGAATATATTTGTATAAGAACACTTTATGAAAATCAACATTTCATTTAATTTTAAATAATCCGTATGTGATTTTTATTGTAAATTATGTTATATTTTTTTTTTATCTTTAATATTTATATTTTGATAAATATTTTGTTTCTGATTCAAATGTTTTTGAAGAATCAACCAGTTGATTAACAGAATAAATAAAATTGAGAATGGGAATGGGGAATATGTCAAAGAGACAACAACCCGACCAAAGAGCAGACAACAGCCGAAGGCCACCAATGGGTCTTCAACACAGCGAGAAATTCCCGCACCCGGAGGTGGTCCTCAGTTGGCCCTTAATAAAATTGTGTACAGTCTAGTTCAGTGAAAATGGACGTCACACTAAACTCCAAAACATATAAATGAACTAAAATTAAAAAAACATACAAGACTAACAATAGGTAACAAAAGAAACTAAGCAAAATGACAATGATACATAAATTAACAAAGGACTACTAGCAGTTACTGACATGCCAGCTCCAGACCTCAATTAAACTGATTGAAAGATTATGTCTTCATCATATGAAAATCAAGTACAATCCCTCCCGTAAGGGGTTTAGTATCATACCATCATAAAATATATGAGAAGAACATAACCCGTATCATGCCAATAACTGGTTTTAGAATAAATGTGTTTATTTCCGATGCAAAGACCCTATGAGTGAATCAATATTAATACCAAAATATGCAATCCTTAATGACTTTACAACAGTATCGTAACTATATCCTTTCCGAATAAGTCTGTTTAAAGTTTTGGTTAGCTTTTGAGGTGAATGCCGACATTTTTGTGCTTTGTAAAGAATATTACCATAAAATATTGGATGTGAAATACCCGAACGTATAAGATGTCTGCATGTTGATTTATATTTATGAATGATGTCCTTGTACCGATGATAAGATTTAGTAAATGTTTTGACTAGTTTGTGATATCGAAAACCCTGGTGTAATAATTTTTCAGTAATACAGAGATTTCTTTCGTTGAAATCAAATACGTTGTTACATGTACACGAGCGAATCGAACAAGTTGAGATAAATAAACACCATAAGATGGTGACAAAGGAACGTCACCATCTAAAAATGGATAATTAACAATAGGAAAACTTAATTATTATTGAAATGAAATCGACTCATTTCCCTCCATTCCACTTTTACTTGTATTCAGAAATGTTAAATCTGCTTAACTTTCCGGAGCAACTGAGATCACACACTTGGTGGGGTTCGTGTTGCATAGTCTTTGGTTTTGTTGTGTTTTGTCTTTTGACATGTGTTCGGTTTTTTTGCCAAGATATTGTCAGTTTTTTTCTCGACTACTGAGTTTGAATGTCCATTTGGTATCTTTCGCTTCTCTAGGTAACCACGAATTGAAATTTTCAACGAAGTACACATTTTCATGTGCTTGTATGCAGACTTTGGCCCTACCATGAAGTCAAATATCCACAAAAATACATTTTTTCCACAATCCCAAAAAAAATTGATATCAACGAAAATAAATAAATCCACAGTAATTGAAATAAGGCACATATATAAAAGTACTTGCAGTTACTGAAAGACAGTTCAAAGCCAATTACAAATAAGAATAAATCAATTATGCCCCAGACTAAAGTATCAATCAGTACACATCCAACAAATTTAGTGTAAAGACATCATGAACATTGCAGGACCTTGTACAATACCGAAATATAAGTAAACAGTATCGACAGGGTGTAGGATCATGAGTACTCATACCTGGCCATAAACATTTAGTTATTTTTCTAATATTATTTTTTTTAAATCAATTTTAGTACCGATAAAAACATTATTCAAAGATTTCACTACGGTGTTAGACTGATAACCTAATACATTTATTCAAAGGATCAACATGGATCGTCTCTAAATTTACGGGCTATAAACAACATCTACGTAAAAATTAGGATGTGCTATCTCTTTTTTAATCAATCAGGTACAGCCAAATTTCCAAACCAAATCTTTGTTTCTATGAAAAAATTAAGGTAAAGGTTTAATTAATTTGTGGTATAAATAATTTACCTATCATACACGAACTACGTCCATTTAAATCTAAAACGTCACTACAGGCACTTGAACAAGTAAGAAGGCGCATAAGGAACATCATCGTCCAAAAGGGTAAAATTGACATTAGGAAACGAAGAATCGTCTCTTTTATCGTAAATTCTAGTGTGTACTTTCCAGTGTGAAACTGAAATGTCCAAATCTTAACGGACAATTATTGCTGTTTTTACTAGGTTCATTTAAAGTATGTTCCCTTCGGTAAATGTCCGCACTAAACTTACAAAATTCTTGATTTTTTAAAACAATCATATCATCAAGGTAACGATAATAGTTTTAAAATTGATCAAGACTGATTTTGGCAATAAAATGTGATTCATAACACTACAGCAACAGGTCTGCTATTTATATGGCACTATTTGTGCCCATAGGCAAGAGCTTACACACGGTCAAAATATAAACTGTTTTGCTGTAACGCACAAGGATATTGTCAAAGAGAACATTTACAGCTTTAATCATCTCATCACAGTCCAGTGACGTCATGACACTCAAATATATTTAAGGCCTTTTGTCCAGCCTCAAATCTGTGTACTTTCCTCAGATTATGACACTAAAATCTGTGGCCCTTTGTTTATTCAAATCCGTGTCCTTTTTATTATTTAAACATTCAGTAATGTGAAGTAACTTGGAACAGGTACATATAGAATTCGGCATGATGAAAGTGCTTACCCCTATCGTAATCTCGTACCGTAAAAACACAATACCAAACTGTAAAAAATGGTTGGGAAGGGCTTGACATTAGATCGGCACAAAGAGCACAATTCAACTAACACAATGACTAAAGACAGAAATCTATTTTACCGTTTGGCCTTCAATACTTCTTTATTTATTTGACAATCATCAAAAAAGCGTTTAAACTAATATATATAGATATTAAGAGAAAACAAGTTTTAATATTATGAACAATTTTTTCACTATCAAACTATTTTTCTGATTTAATTTTTTTTAACTTGATAATAAGGCTAAAAAATAACAAAAATATAAATAAAAATATGTTTTTTTTCAGCACTTTTTTAATATGCGAGAAACGATAAGCCCTTATATAGAGGGTGTCAACATGGGAGTCCCTGATTCGAAAAACCCTTCGCCTACTCTCAATTCCCCCTCCCCCCCCCCCCCCCGCTTACTCCCGGACGGAAATCGATAAAAAAAACTTGTTCAGCATATACCTATTATTTACTCCCACTCTTCTCCTGGTTCCCTTTTCTTCTTCCCTTGGTTTCTGCCACCTGACTTCCGCTTCCCATCCCCTCATCCCTGTCGAACCTCTTTATGTAGATAGTTCTTCAATGGCCTTAACTTCTGTCGATTTCATTCAAAAATGGAAGTCGTATTTATGCCTTTGACAACACAAATATTTCCTCAAAGACGTTTTTATAATCCTGACGTCAACAAAGGACCTGTTGAAAGGATACAGATTTGAGAAAAGAAAGGACATATATTGGTGACGTTTATGACGCAATGTAGAATAAGACGAAGATCTGAGGAAAGGATACCGAATTGAGACTGGACATATATTTGAGGGTTGCAAGTATATTAAGCATATTTTCCTTTTTTTCATTACAGTAGAAGGATTTATATAAGTTGCAGCACATAAATCTGCATATTTTTTTTTTCAAAGAACCATTTAATTAAATAAGATATCTTCTGTTTGATAAGAATATGTGAAAATGTAGTGTACGGAGTCGAAAAGTCATCACTGTCAACCGATTGAACGGATCATCAAAAGCACAAAAGTTATCCAAACATTCATAGATTTTTTGACACTTCCAAAATTGCTAATTTCATTATTTTTATATGCTTTGTTACACAAAATTAATGACAAGTTGACAAGTTCTTAAACAGAAGTAAGAGAACTAGTTAACAACACAGAAAGATAAATCGTAAGACACTTACTAGAAGCCGAGATGAAACGAAATTTGAAGGATTGTTTGTGTAGTGTAGGTAGTCAATACATAGAAGACACCTTCAAAAGTGCAGAGGAGGCCTTAAGCAGAGATATTGTAGGGACATGATCACTTACTATTGAACTCTTAGTAGTATTTACGTCATACCATTCCTCATTGTTGGCTGTTGAATGTATAACTAAAATAAATATGAAATATAACGTTTATATTTTCTGTAGAACGCAACAAGAAGATATGCTATACAATACAGCATGACTGAATACTTTATGTCGAACTGAATTGTAATGGAACACTGGGCATTTGATTTTCAATATCAAAATTACATGATCAAATTTCACTAATAAAAACATAAGATAGCCAATGAATATGCTATTAGGCAAATATATTTGAAATTAGATAGTAACTACCTGTGCAAACTTTTCGTGTACTGCTTTAAAATCTAAGTATTCGTAATGAAACGAAGCAATATGTAAACAGAATGTCATTTTGGATTTTCTACAGCTAGAACAAATTTCATTGCAGAATTATCTCTGCAGAGGTAAGTTCTGGTGATTATAACTATATATACAAACTTACGTTTTGATGTACGGGAAACAGATCTTAGGAAAGTCTACAGATTTGAGGCCTGACAAAGTTTTGATGTTATTCACGGGGAAAGGATTTTTCCCCTTTACTTCAGGGAAGAAATGCTGTAGACAAAAAAATAATGATAATAACTTATGTATACTAGAAATATGATTACAAAAGAAACACAAAAACAGACAAATTTTGCAGTATTTTATGAAGGTAAAAGAAAATAAAACATAATAAATTCCGTACGTCCGAAGCGCTTTTCTGTGTTTACCTTCACCAGGAAGGCTCAAACTTAAAGATTTGAAAGATAAGAATGCATAAACATGCGATAAGGTCTATCACTTGCTTGAGGGAGTTGGAACCTTATTCTTAATAATTTCTTAATTTATCAACGGGGACTTGCCACACGACCGAGATGTTATATATGTATATATCCATATAAGTAGATGTCTCTTTACAATAATTGTTTCTTAGAAGTTGATAAACCATAATAAAGGATTCAAACAGTTTTCCACATTAATCAATGACAATAACACCTTTTTAAATATCGTGCGTCCGAAACGCATTAATGAGGCGTGTAACCTTCGCCAAGAACGCACAAACTAAAAAATTGCAAGCCAAGTATGTATAAATACCAGGGGGAGCTATAAGGAACCTAACATGAATAGTTAAATTCATCTATGATCAGCTTAGCCTGCGGAAGTTGGAACCGTAATTTCTTAATAATGTCTAAATTTATCAACGGAGAATTTAAGAAAAGTATGTTATAAATTATGTCAGTTGCGAACTACTGACTTCTGAGCTGATTATACCTCGGATACTAACAGTCCACCTTAACCTAAGTGTATAGACTCAGTTATTATAAATGAAAATAACACTTTTTAAATTTCGACCGTCCGAAGTGCTGAATCAAATAAATATACCTAATAAGTTGTAATTACAAGTAAATTTTATTTGTAAAACAATCCATATTAATTGTCATAAAATGCCATCTTTGAAGATATCGACATAAGCCACGGTTGCAAAGGTTTTATCATGCCACATCAGAAAAACATCATATTGTAATATCTATACGATAGGACTTTTTTCAACATTTCACACATCGTATAAACCCTCACCCAATATAATGCCTCGAGCTTATATTGGTGTTTTAGGTTGATACCTTAAAAAAACAACATATAATATTTTCATTTATCATATCTGTTTAATTAATTGCACACATGTATTCTGGCTGCTAAAAGTCAAACAGAAGTCTTACACAGATGTTATGACCCAATTTCCCCCCCCGCAATGGAAGCTTTTATATAGATATATCAATGAATGCCCCTAGTTAAACTGGAAATGCTTACCTTTCCAGAAAATATGAAGTTGTTTTGGGCGGACCGTATTGCTTAATCTTCAGTTGTTCTGAGAAGTGTTTTGTGGGCTGTTGTTTGTCGTTTTTCTTTTTTGATATTTTTCTGTCTGCCTTTATTGGACTTTTGATTGACCCTTATTGAATTTACCTTGGGATTCTGTATTTTTGTTATACATTTTTGGTATCTTCTCCATCTTCAGACAATTGATATGCGAGACGACCATCAATAGTGAACAAATAAATGTTCTGGCATTATATGGTTTTGTGAAACTTAATAAGAACATGGTTTATCATTTTTTATTAGTGAGTTTGGTGGTGGTCGTTGTTCAGGAATATGACACATTGAACTTCTACGACATATTAATCTTCAATAAAACTTATTTGGTTAATAACCAAACTTTGAAAAGAATATGTTTGAAAGCAATTCCACAAATGAAAAATAACACTTTATGAAATTCTTGCATTCGATGCACTTTTCTTCTGAATTTACCTTTATAAATGACGCGTAAACCTAAACATTTAAAAGCCTGGAATATGTAAATACGTAGAAACGTTAGCTATTTCACCTAAAGGGACCTTAAAAAAAATAGCCAGATTCATCTAAGGTCAACTTTGCCTGAGGGAGTTGGAACCTTAGTATCTTAATAATTTCTTAATTTGTGAACTGGGAATTTTAAAATGGTTTGTTATAAATCCTGTCAGTACAGAAACAATGAATGTTGAGCTAATGATACCCTCGGAGACTAACAGTCCATTAGCAGTGGTATCGCCCTAGTGATACCAACCTCTTCATTTTCTTCTATTTGGATGAAACAGAAAAAAAAAACTTAGTTGGAGAGTTATCGATATTCATTTATTATGATTTGTCCCGTTTTCAAAAATCATTTTCTAAAACTACAAATTTATTTGAAACAATACTGCATTGTAAGTAGATATCCCTTGTCACCATCTTATGGTGGTTATATATCTCAACTTATTCGATTCGCTCGTGTATGAAACAACGTATTTGATTTCAACGAAAGAAATCTCTGTATTACTGAAAAATTATTACACCAGGGTTTTCGATATCACAAACTAGTCAAAACATTTACTAAATTTTATCATCGGTACAAGGACATCATTCGTAAATATAAATCAACATGCAGACATCTTATACGTTCAGGTATTTCACATCCAATATTTTCTGGTACTATTCTTTACAAAGCACAAAAAAGTCGGCATTCACCTCAAAAGCTAACTAAACCTTTTAACAGACTTATTCGGAAAGGATATAGTTACGATACTGTTGTCAGGTAATTAAGGATTGCATATTTTGGTATTAATATTGATTCACTCATAGGGTCTTTGCATCGGAAATAAACACATTTATTCTAAGACCAGTTGTTGGCATGATACGGGTTATGTTCTTCTCATATATTTTATGATGGTATGATACTAAACCCCTAATGGGAGGGATTGTACTTGATTTTCATTTGATGAAGACATAATCTTTCAATCAGTTTAATTGAGGTCTGGAGCAGGCATGTCAGTAACTGCTAGTAGTCCTTTGTTAATTTATGTATCATTGTCATTTTGCTTAGTTTCTTTTGTTACCTATTCTGACATCGGACTCGGACTTCTTTTAAACTGAGTTTTACTGTGCGTATTGCTATGTGTTTCTTTATTCTACATTGGCTAGAGGTATAGGGGGAGGGTTGAGATCTCACAAAACATGTTGAACCCCACCGCATTTTTGCGCCTGTCCCAAGTCAGGAGCCTCTGGCCTTTGTTAGTCTTTTATGTTTTTTAATTTTAGTTCATTTATATGTTTTGGAGTTTAGTGTGACGTCCATTTTCACTGAACTAGTACACAATTTTATTTAGGGGCCAGCTGAGGACCACCTCTGGGTGCGGGATTTTCTCGCTGCGTTGAAGACCCATTGGCCTTCGGCTGTTGTCTGCTCTTTGGTCGGACTGTTGTCTCTTTGACATATTCCCCATTTCCATTCTCAATTTTATTCTACAAACAATTGTCATTTTAAATAACAATCAAGTGAGATTATGATATTAAACATGTTAATCTTACAATAGGCCTTCAATTAATTTTTTTCTTCAGGAATTTGACTTTTACGACGGAAACAATATCTGAACATTTCTGTAGTTAGTATTTCTTGTCCCTTTTCAGTGATTCAGTATGGAATCTTCTAAGACTCAAACATGTAGCCTGTGTAACAAACAAGCCACCAAATGGTGCCCAGAATGTGCAAACTTCCTGTGTAAAAATTGCGCCAGACATCACAGCTATTCCTCATCTACAATGCGTCATGAACTTGTCAATATAGAGAACTATTTAGGATTACCCAAATCAGTTCTGTCCATTAAAGACGTTTGTATTCTGCATAATAATACATATGAATTGTATTGTAAATTTCATCAAGATTTGTGTTGTGCATCATGTGTAAGCGACACCCACAAGAAATGCCTGGAATTTTGACCTATTAATGAGGTAATACAAAATGCAAAGACATCGGTCATTTTTGATAAACTGGAACAAAACCTGTCAGACACTCGTAAGGAAATACGATTACTAAGAAAGAACATATACATGAATACCATCCAAATCAGAAACCAGAAGAAACAGTGCTTATCTAAAATATCAAATATTCGAAAGATAATTAATGAGCATTTAGACAGACTTCAAGAAGATATACAAGAGAGACTTTATGGAATTGAAACTGAGGTTCAAACAAAACTAAATAAGATGTTAAGTGAAATGACAGAAAAATTGGAATTGTTTGATCAAATGCATTTAGATATAACAAATATCAAACACTATGCTAGTGATTTACAAACATTTTTAGGGGTTAAAGAAATGACAGAGAAGGCTGATCAAGAAAATAGTAATATAGAAGATATGAACAATTACGAAGTTGTCAAGTTAGATATAACTATTTCAGATGACTTATCGTCACTTGTCCACACAATTTCATCTTTTGGTGAAATATTTACAGACACAGAACAATCAACAGAAACTCTTTCAACTAGAAGCATCGATTTTCAAGCACCGATTGAAGTGCCAACGACAGTGACAAAAAAGAGTACCATACACCTGCCGCATGGTAAACATGATGTCTGTGTGCATGGTTGTGAAATTTTAGAAGATGGTTTAATTCTGTTTGCAGATTTCGACAATAAAAGACTAATAACATACTCTGAAGATGATGTGGATTATTTCGAATTCATGAACTTACCAGGTAAACCGTTTGACCTTGTTCATACTACAAACGATAATATATGTGTAACTCTTTCAGATAAAAAAACGTATGCTACTCATAAATATATCTACTAAACTAATACTTAATTCAGTAGATGTAGGCCATCGCTGCTTTGGGACTGCTGCAGACTTGCAACATTTAGCCATTCGCGCTATACATTCTATAACATCAGATCACGAGATCATATTTTATAATTTTGATGGCAAGTTAATACATCGTGTCAAAGTTCCCGGACATTCTGCCAGACAAATCTGTTACAGTGGTAATGAAGTGAAATGTACAGAGTCAGAAAAAAACATAGTTTCATGTTATACTAAAGACGGTAATCTATCATGGGCTTTCAGTGATGAGGATATCATTCGGTATCCTGCTGGAGTTGCCGAAGATCGAAACCGATTTATTTATCTAATCGGACAAGAAACAAATAATGTCATTGTTATTACGCCAAATGGGCAGTATTGTAAACAAATTTTATCGCTAAAAGATGGCTTAGACAAACCTTTAGCGGTGTGTATCAATGTTTCAAGAAATGAACTATTAGTGTGCAATTTTTCGGGAAAGGCGATTCTCTTTGCGCTAGGTTAATGTAAATTACAAACGGGATGTAATGTTAAAAGTTCGAACTGAGACAAAGTACTGTTTATATGCGTCTTGGGTGCCAGACAAACATTTCATGTCAGTTTCAATCTAAAACAACTAACAAAAAAACTAATCTGTGTTTAGATGCAATAAAAATCAAAATATTTGGAATAAAGCAGGCGTTTGTATGAATTCTGACATTTAAAGTTATAAGTGAACTCAATGTGTATTTTGTTACATTGACAGAATTTTGATTACTCGACAACACCTATTTACAGTGAAATAAATAATGTCTAGAGCAAGTATGTGCGTGGAAGATCCCTGCATTTGTCAAATGTTGAAGGACAGTATATTGTTTCTGATTAAATTATGCTATGTTTATGCGAACAAAGTATACGAATCAAAGTACTAAAATACTGAACATCGGATGACCGCAAGTTCTTGTGGATGGTCAAAAGCACTTGTCACAGAAAAAAATAACATCTCTATACCTAAAACTGAGGTTAATGTAGAGAGATTTTTTTTTCTTAGACAAGTTCGTGCGTGGATGATAAAATAAATGACAGGAAATTCAACCTCACCGTAATAACTATTATATTGTAGTGATACAAATCAGTATACACTGGTTTGTTGTTATATATTATATTAATATAACAGTTACATGTATATATAATTTTCATCCATTTGTATATCATTTTATTCTACTATACTAATAATAGTGCAGTGCAAGTTCATGGTGGACACTCTTCTGTAAAAATTCGATTTTTCTTAAAGATTGGATATGAGTAGGCATTCATATTTTCCCGCAAAAACAATCTTCCATGCAGAATTACCGGTCCTTGCCGGGATTGTCGCAAAACGTTCTTGAGATATTCTTCCGCATGCTTTAACACAATTTTTCGGTACGTGTGCATAGATATTATCAATGATTTTTTACTTATATATATATATCTAACGACAAAACATTTTCATATTATTAATTTATTTTCTAAACAAAAATATTTTTATCAGTATTCATTGAAGAGATGTTTTTATAACAAACGATAAGGAATGTTATTTTGCACTCGTTAATATCCGCGTATTTATCATGTTTATAGATCGGTTACAAACCCAAAACGAATGTTACGTAATGGAAATCTAGGCGATAGCAATACATCGGAATGCCTTTGTATTGTAGCCATGCAAAAACATTATTAAATAGTAAACTTTCGTAATATATATATATATATTTAATAAGCAGCTTACATCTTGTTTCAAACATAATTAGAATCTGGTCATTGTTACTGAATATATACTAATATACTAATATATAGCGGATAAACAGACAGATGGACTACTGGATCACTGTTCACTATTATGCGAAGACAACTGGGGTGAATAATAAAAAATGACTGCACCTTTTGAAGGAAATATAGTGTTGTAATATTAGATCGTTCTGAATTAATCACCAATTATTGGTATGACGATGTATCCATCAAATAGTATTAAAAAGCACTGAATGGTGTTGTAAAGCATGCATGTACATGTAGTACATTTATACTTAATTGTTTACTTTTCATCTATTCAAAACTGCAGAACAATGGCATCTTTAGCATTGAGATATACAGATATCATGAATATTTCAAACAAATTGTTTTTGAAACAGGAACATAAAATGAACCTTAAATTAGGTGATCCTGTAGAAAAATGACACAACTAATCTATCGAAAAGTACATAATAATGTTCTAATAATAATGTTCATTGTAAAGGAGGGAAGATACCTAGAGTAAAACAAAAATCATAAGGGAAAAAACAGCAAACACCAAGGCAAAAAAGAAAAAGCACTTTACTACACAACTAAGGATTGAGTTGTGGCTTTGTCAGTTTGTTTCGCCTTGTGAGTTTGAATTCACTTTGGTATCTTTCGCCTCTCTTTTATCAAGTTACGTCTTCTGTTAAGGTACATAACATCACCAATAGATGACAAATTGGCGTTTTCTCAACGATCATGACAAGAACAAATGGAAATGAACTCTTTTAAACCTTATTGTTGCCATCGTCATCTGGAAACATATTACGAAAAATCAATAGGACGGATTTAAAAAAAAATATATGTACACATTTATTAAATATCAACGATAATAACTGTCCTTTCCTGTATTTAGATATTTCAGGGAAACTCTACACAAAAATTTAGGACAAAAGGGACGATTTTTCGTTCCCTATTGTTAATTTTCCTTTTTTTACACCAGTGTCCCAGGTTAGGGGAGGGTTTAGCGCCCATTTACATGTCTAATCCCGCCACATTATGTGTGTGTTTGTCCAAAGTCGGGACCCTGTAATTCGGTGGTTGACGTTTTTTTCTGTATAGCATATTTGTTTTTCGTTTGTTGTTTTGTACATAAATCAGACTGTTAGTTATCTTATTTGAATTGTTTTACAATTTGTTATGTAGGGACCTTTTATAGCTTGTTATACGGTATGGGATTTTCTCATTGTTATGAGCAGTACGGCGGCGTATATAGAATTAAGAAGATGTGGTATGATTGCCAATGAGACAATTCCTTACCAGAGACCAAATGGCGTAGAAATTATAGTTCCTTATATCTGCATCAATTGATCTCTGGTGTCTCATTGGCAATCATACCACATCTTCTTATTTTATATACATAAAATTGAGAAAAAGAGTGTAACTGACGAACCAGGAACTGCTCATCTGTCTGGAGCATCTGAATTAACCCCGCTGGTTATAGGTGTCTCAAACCTTTATTCTTCAGCATAGTGTACTGCCGATTGTTTTTTGTCGTTTCAGCGTTTTTTTCTCGATTTGCCATGGTGTGTTCTGTTTTTCTTCGACTTAAAGTATTTTCCACCCTCTCCGCACGAATTCAAACTCTAAAGCGTTACTTTCCTGGCTGATGTATTTCACAGAACTTTAAGGTTAATGGTTTTTACTAACCTTCTACTCAAAAGTTTAAAATCTACGACCAATCGGACAAAATTTGTATCCCTATCATAATAAGAGATCACATAAGAATACTATGATTTATTAATAAATAAATAATTCTTGAATCGTGACAAAAAATACAGTCATTATTTTTATCCGGTTCAGTAACCGCATTTTTCACTGAAGGCGTGAAGTTCTGTTGATTTAGGTGATTTTGCTGACAATTTTCTATAGAGGTATACAACAGCTCCAGCAGACGACAAAAATGCAATAAGCAAGGCAAGCAAACCAAGAATCATAGGCCATTTATCAATGCAAACTTCACTATTGTCATCGCCATCTGAAATAAAACATTTAAACATAAGTATTTGATCTTAAGAAAATTTTAAGTAAAATGTATTAAAATGGCGTAAAGAAACATATTATTATTATAATTATTATTATGATTATTAAAAATTTCATCGCCAATATAATAGATGAAGGTAGTCACTGGTATATACAAAAGGAAGTCATTAATATTCATTGCCTATAGGTTTGTTTGCTTTATAGTTTGATCATTGGGTATACTTTCACACTAAATTATATGTTGAATCGGAACATTTTTGGTTTACAGATGACTTGGGATAAGCAGGATATGAAATGATTTTTCCTGACAGACATATTTGTATGTACAGATGTTCTGCATTAACAGACGTTTAGGATTTTGACAGACTGATCAGACTAATCTGAGAAAGGAAGTATCTTATTTTTCACACCTACAAAAAATGTGTGCCTATACTTGTTTATTTGGCAATATCATTTAAGGAGAATACTCAGTATTTACCTCATAAATATTTATTTTTAGTACAGCTTTCATCGTAATCATCACTCAGCGTAAGATAATGTTGTGACTAAATATTGATAAAGATATGCATAAAAGGAGATGGATGATGCATACGCCAAAAAAAAAAAAAAAAAAAAAAAAAACAGCAGCACTGCGACACATACAGTCTTAAGTATCATGTTATTTAAAAAAAAAATAATTACATAATATGTTTTGTACAGAAATAGAGGGTGATTATTATTATCGATCGTCCTACTGACTGAAACAATCTGCTCAAATACGCTGACCCAGCCTTGATAACTTTTAACCGGACATATCACCGACGTCGTAATGAATGAACCGATGTTATCAAGTCATCTTCCGGTTTACTGGTGAATCAAAGAAAACTCTTGTTTCTATTATGCAAAATACGCAAATAAAACCCGATAAATTGATTATCTGGTTGTCTGCATATTCATATTGTAAAATATCAGCCGCTCGGCATAATATGAAGCATTTTTAAACTTGTTCGCCGCGCTTACTCGAAAAGGGCTTCATATTGTGACTCGCAGCTTATATTTTACAATTTCAATATGCAGACAACCTGATAATCGGTACATATTCAACTTATTTGTCGGACGGTCAGATAGTATAAAGAATACTAAGTTACCATGAAATCATTCAAGCTCGGGTTTCTTATAAATAACAATTACCTTCAATAACAACATCATTAGCTATAATTCTGAGCGTTGAACCGACGTTGATGTCATCGAATGGTGATTGGTCGTCTGCTCCTCTCTTCTGACGGAGGCTTCCGGAAACAATGACATCCATTACATCTCTTCTTTTTCTTCCCCATCCATTAGAACCACTAGAACATGTGGTCTAAATTCAAATATTATCCATTACAATAAATCAGTCAGAAAAAACCCGTTTTCGAAATACAACATTTATTAAGAAGTTGCAAAAATAAAATATTCAGTTTTATCAGTTAAAATTTACTTATCCATAGCTCTATTTAAAGACAAAATAAGAATTTCTAGGAATGCTGTCTGTCCTATGTGTAAATTTTGATGTTGAATGACCATAAAAACGCATCATTAGATCTGTTTAAGAAGGACATTTCCCTATTTAATTGCAAACAAATCTTTCATGGTTTTTATATCTACAAATACTTGAATTCGTGAGCGATACACATGGAGTGTTTGCGATATGTGTTGCTTAATTTTCGGTTCTATTGTATAAATCAAACATTTATAGGTATCAGCAAGTCAATATGGCGGCTAACTCCTTAATTACGACATGCCGAGTCAACGAAAATAAAATATTAAGAAAAATTGCAAATAATTGGGTTGAGAATCATAACGAGTAAACGATTATGTATGTGTAAACTGGGACTCTGACTCACCAACTTTGCATAAAATTCCTCCTTTGGACTTTTATTCAGTTTTTGAGTTAAAGTCATATGAACTTAAAATTTAAAAAAAATAATTGAATATGTTTTATATACTTGAAAGGGTAAGTTTTACTATAAAACAAGTGTATGTGAACTAAATGTAAAAGAAAATCCTGTATATTATCAAAATCTTCTTAAATGTACTGCTATTGAACTATTGACTTTCCGTACACTAATTCGCCGATTTCCCGTATGCAGTGACCTTAACTACAAGACCTTTCTTAGAACTTCGGTCACCGCACAGCGCAATTTCGAGGGGGAAAATCCTGATGAAAGAATGTAAATAAACTTGCAGTGGAAGGTAAATAGTAATAACTGATTCTTAAAGAACAAATTTAAAACAACAAATCATTTAACAACTGTTAAAAAAAATATTATGGCTCTTTTTAAATTCACTTCTTTGCCACGTGCTCCACATGCTCTGTGTTGATTGTTTATCTATGTGACGATCATGTAAACTTCGGCAACAAACTCGAAAGTTAATTAATTTGCGATCAACAATCACTGACTGAAATATTATTTGTCGATAAAACGTTATAGATTCGTAATCAATATAAAAAAAATAGTTTTGTATATATGCATGCATTGGTTCAATAATTCCGATAACATTAAAATTATAAGAAACTCGTTTCATATGACTTTAATCTTTATTGTTAGAGATACAATTTTCTTTGTTTTAAAGGCTTAAAATGTCTTGAAATTTGTCTAGCTTAAATATTTCAAAATATTTGAATTTGTTGTTCTTTAAGATATAAGAGTAGAAATTAGCTTATGTCAATTATGCTGTTTTAGAATTAGGTTTAACACTGTCTTTTTAGAGTTCAAATGTCCTTAGAAACAAAGATTCCAAAAAATATGAAATGATTGAAATACCAACACCACACAACGAGCCAACAATATTTATCTAATTGTTAACAATGTAAATGCGCTGAAAAGAACGGAGAAATATCTTATCTCATGTGGCGTTGTAGAAGAATCTGTATTTTTAAAAAACGTTTTAAAGAGTCTTATTAGCGGAAAATATGAAACATAAATTATGTAATTTGACGGACATGGTATTCCCTGGCGACGCATCAGCTCTCGGTCCTTTTGAATTGATGCGACTCCTTAAGTTTTTGTTTGTAACCTTAAATTATATCTTCTTTGTGGATTTAGGATATTTGAACATCGGTAAACTACTGTTGCCTCTAATTCCCTCCTATGTCGTTATAACGTAAAATAAACCAATCCCTACCCAAACCTGCCCAAAAAAAAAATATAAGAAAATTATAAAACTCATCATTAAATTATTTCAGTAAAAAGTGACAACCTTATTGTACATGAACATTTTACTTACAACAGAACAGCTTCCTAAACAAACTTGTAAGCTACAGGTAAACGTCATGGGAACAGATCCACCATTGAGGTCAGTTGTGCGGAAAGCACCAAAGGTAGCCGACAAGTATCCTTGTGCTGGTTTGGAGAATTCTGGGAAAAGTTCTGTATCTGTTGCACATCTGGGAAAATATATACATTGAATCACATATCACACTAGTATTTCATTCCGGTTCATTTTCTTCAATCAGATGTCATGGTACGCAAAGGCATAGACAATCATTTCCAAAATGGTTTCAAAAACCGGTACTACTTATCCCATTCTTATTTTACTTTAATCTACTGTAATTCAATGTTATCATCTGTCTTTCTATCTTAATACAAAAAACCTTATTTGTATATTTATGCAGCTCTAAACGGAGTTAAACATTTTATAAAGTGCAAGCGTCCGAAGCGCTTTTCTAGAATACTTTCATCGGGAAAGCTCAAACCAAATCATTTGAAAGCCAGAAATGCGGAAATACGCTGCAACGGTAGGAGCTGCATGACCAAAAGGATTCTAAAAAATAAAATACAAAAGGTATCCATAATTAATATCTTACGTATTTTCTGTAATTGGGATGGTTGATGCTGTGCAGTATTTCGCTTTGATATCAAAATCCTCTAAAATAAAAACATTCAAACGTAAATAGACAGTTATAAATATGACCAGAGACAATAATGGCGATTGCGAACTACGTTTTAAAGAGTTTTTAAAACTTTTTATAACCGAAGATATTGTTAATACATTGCTGAAAATTTTTTTTAGTATAATACTTCAGATATGGATTTTTCTTTGTTACAAAATTTTACTTGTAAAAAATTGAAGGAACCAGAATTTTTTTAATTAAACCTCCTTTGTGTTGGAGAGTTGTGTACACAACTGAAACACATTACTACTAATAAATCTGCAGGTTTAGATGGAATTGGTCCCATTTTTAAAAGCTTATTGCAGAGATAATATCGCCATCACTAACTTGTCTAATAAACAAAAGTAAAACATCTAATCGTTTTCTGGAAAAATTAAAACATGCTAGGAGGCAAACAGAATGATGTTCTCTCCAATTAACGTCCAATTTCTATTTTAAATACCATATCTAAGATTTTTAAAAGACATGTAAAAACTATATACACAGATATGTGAATCCTTGAATAATAAAATAAATATTACATATAGTTCAGTCAGGTTTCAGACGAGGTCATTCATGTCAAACCGCTCTGACTAAAATAATTGACAAATGGTTAAACTATTTAGATAATGCAGAAATAGTTGGTACTGTGTTTTTTTTTGGATTTCAGTAAGGTTTTTGATCCTATTAACCACGCAGTACTTATAGAAAAGCTAAAATTTTATCATATTGGAGAACATATGATAAATTGGATAAAACCATTTTTGTCTGAAAGACAACAACGTCAAGAAGTTAAATACGCAAATATTAAATTTGATAAAACGTTTGTAAAATATGGAGCGCCTAAAGGTTCTATTTTATGTCCTCTATTATTATTAATTTATATCACTTCATGTGAAACACTCCAACATGGATTTATATGCTGATAATTTAACATTGCATTTTCATGATAAGAAAATTGAAAAAATTAACAGCATATTGCAAAAATTTAAATGCTGTACATTCTTGGTGTTACAATAACAGTGTGAAAATTAATGCACAAAAAACAAAAAGTATGAATTTAAGTTCAAAACAAAAACTTACACAACTATCAGAATTAAGTATTACCATAAACGAAACATGTATTAACTGTGTATTCTTTCATTACTTATAATTGACATTTATGAAAATTTAAGCTGGGAAGAACATGTTAATCGTATATGTAAGATTATCTCATCTAAAATATCACTCTTGTATAAACTTATAGAATATTTGCATATACACATAAGAGAACTATTTTATAATGCATATATTCTACCATATATAGACTATTGTAGTTCAGTTTGGGGAAATGTATTACAAAAAGAGTAAGATAAAATCATAAAACTTCAGAAAAGAGTAGCAAAAATTATACTTGAATGTATCAAATTTTATGTTTTCTTCTTTAAAATGGCTATCCTTTATACAAAAAAAGTAAAATGCCAACGATCAATTCTTATGTGTAAATATATGAATAACACATAGCAGAAAGGGTGATAGAGCAGATTGTTACCCCGAGAAAACATTGTCAACTGAGGCGAAGCCAAGGTTGACAACGTCTTTTCGAGGGGTAGCAATCTGCTCTATCACCCTCTCAGATATGTGTTATTTAATCTATTATACTGAATGTTCTGTTATTACTGTCTATTAAATTTCAAATTCAAAGTAATAAACTATGTCGTCTTGTACATAACAATCATCCGTATTTATTAAAGCGCACACTTGAGCAAGCGTCTCCGTGAAGGATAATAGAGTATTTGCCATGGGATAGAGTAAATTGTCTCCCTCGTATTAACCAATCAAAATCTGGCATTTTGACATGAAGTATAATAAATTGTAAATGAATTAACACCTGATTACTTATCAATGGTAATTAATAATAATGTTAAATACTACAACTTACGATCTGTCTCTAATAACGATCTATTTGATCTAAGACCAAATGCTAATTTTTATAAAAAAAAAATCTTTTCATTATTATAAGGTACTATGGAATAATTTACCATTTACAATAAAAAATTGTCGCAATGTGGAATTATTCAAGAAACATTGTCACAATCATTTTCTTGAAAATTCTATGCAAGTATTTTAATGTATAAATGTAAACTGTATACATGTATTTTGTTTTAGGGCCTCAATGAAAATATGACTAGTTCTTATTGAGTTACCCTCTTTAAATAAAGAATTTATTATTATTATATTATTATTATTGAGCCATTTCTTAAGACACTCAACATTTTTCTTTGATACATTGGAATCAGGTGACTTTTTAAGTCTTGTTTAATGAAAGTTTACCATTCACACCTCTTATTTTTAGATAATATAAAAAAGAAGATGTGGTATGATTGCCAATGAGACAACTCTCCACAAGAGACCAAATGACACAGAAATTAATAACTATAGGTCACCGTACGGCCTTCAACAATGAACAAAGCCCATACCGCATATACAGTCTTACAACTAAGCCCAAGAATTTGCATCAAAATGATGTTGAATAAAAAGTGAACTTATCTCCTGCACCACTTAGAAAATACCATATTTTCAAATTAAACTGTCACATCAATTATATTATGTTAGTTCACAGATACCACATGGTTTCTTTCTCAATCTATAGGTGACAATTGTTACAAGAAGGGATAAAAATGAAATACAAAATACCAATCAAGAAATATATCTTTTTTTTCATTATATGTGATTTTAATTTTTTTTTCCAAATTTGATTTTTTCAATAACTTGCAAGATTAGAATATTTTTAAAAACCATATTTAAAAATAATTAGGTTTTCAAATAAATCTTGAAAGTCAGGATAAACAACATCAAAGAATATTTCCAAAATAAGAATTAAACGCAAAAAAAAGGGGGTCAACCCCCCATGTGCCTGTGCATTTTCCTAAAACTTTTAAAGTTTAACAATTTTGTGTTTTAAACATCTGTTTGTTAAGTAATATTATCAGACGCCTTATCAGTATGAAATGACAGATTTATAGCCCTTCTTAACCATTTTATGATTGAGAGAAGATAGGAAATTTTAACTTTCTTGTGCATGGATGCAGGACTGTATAGCTGTAAAAGACCCCGTAATGACAAATGTAAAATAATTCAAACGAGAAAACCAACGGACAAATTTATGTACAAAATAATGAACGAAAAACAAATATGTAACACATCAACAAACGACAACCACTGAATTACAGGCTCCTGACAGTAAAAAATCTGCTGACTTGTATGTACGATATATTCGAGACTGATGAAAATTATTATCAAAACTTTTAACTTACGAAGATAATCAGCATCAAGTTCCATGGTTAAGGTCAGCATATCAGTCAGTTTTACGTTACCACCGGTAACATCAACTCCGTCGCTATATAACTTCATAAAAGCGGTTGGTTTTACTGTTAAATTTTGCCCGGCATCGTCATCTTTGTCTCTTAGAAAATAAACAAAAACATTGATATGTTATATAAACGCACACATGCTCCAGTGATCGAACATTTTAAAGCAAACAATTGCTGCTTAATAAATGTTAATTGCTTTGAATGATTTGTATCTTACAATGCAAGTGTGTTTATAATTTACAACTTCACTATATTACTCTAATTGTGTGTAAGCCCAAGACGGGATTACAAGAATATTTTCATTGTTTTAAATCAAATATATCATATTTACTACGCAATTGCATTAAAATCAGGGACATGTAATTATACAATACAAATCTACTTACTTCTTGAAAATATAAATTAAAAGGAGACTTTAAGATCAAAAGTTTTGAAAGCAATAAAAGTTAATACCTATCATAGGTGTAATACCACCATTGATTTTCCCCTATTTAAGTCTTTGTTAAATTTGCACTTTTCAAAAAATTGTGCAGAATTTATCTTTGTTTCAAATAAAGAAATACTTGGCATGAGTATCCTGTCCAGTACCATAGAAAAAATTTCACATAACATTTCATTGCATATAAGAAAATAACCATCACTGGAAGTTAACCAATCAAATTTTCCCCCTTTTTTAACCTGTGTACAAGCTTTAGTAACCATGTAACCTCAAGTTTCCAAAATATTCAATAGAAACCCCAAATAAAAAAAATAATGGTGCTTTGAAATACCCAAGATATATGTTTATGACCCAGAAATGTTTTACTGCAATGAAATGTAGGATCAATTACCTACAACTGTCAAATTCAAGGGAATATTTTTTTTCGACCTATTTTCGTTTTAATTATCAATTTGAATTGTTTATTGGTAGACTTAAAAACCTGAATATCTCTAGCCTAAGTTACAATTAACTGTTGGGGTAAAAAATGCAACTGCAGTTCATGTAGTTTCCATCCAGTGCTGTCTCATTGCTGAAATTTCTTTCTTTCTTTTTATTATGGCCATTTGCTCTGTTTTTTTATGCATTTATTATATATACCTGCTATCAAATGGCAGTGCTTAATAATTTATCTATTTATTGATTTTATGCTTTTTAGTTTGTTAGTTTTTTTATGATATTCAAGTGATTTGCTGGTTCCCCCATTCAATGCACACAGAGGTGCTTGCCGCATGAGCATTGACTCTGGAGGCTCAGAAATCAAAATTAATTTGCTTTCATTATATTTGCATGCTTTTTCATTTTTATTTATTAGTATTTGCATGATGCTGCATGATTTTTGTATGTGATAGTCGGTTAAAGAGCTCACCAGAGTTCATGTTTTGTCTGTTATTATGTATATATATGCCGACTCTAAAAAAAATTTACTTACTTACTTTCTTACTTACAAAAACAGTAATTCAGTATACTTAATGCACAAACAGAGACGGTATATATGTCTCTAGCCACAAACAGAGACGGTATATATGTCTCTAGCCACAAACAAAGACGGTATATATGTCTCTTGCCACAAACAGAGACGGTATATATAACAGAGACGGTATATATGTCTCTAGCCACAAACAGAGACGGTATATATGTCTCTTGAAACAAACAGAGACGGTATATATGTCTCTAGCCACAAACAGAGACGGTATATATGTCTCTAGCCACAAACAGAGACGGTATATAAGTCTCTAGCCACAAAAACAGAGACGGTATATATAACAGAGACGGTATATATGTCTCTAGTGCCAAGAGGAAAGATATAAATAGTCATGACTTACAAGTTGTTAACATCCCCACTTAATGAGATGTCGGTCAGGTCGGCCAAACACATTACTGGTATTTGTTTATCGTCTCCTGTTTGATATAGTTGTTTCTTCTGGACAATTACTTTAAATGATGATTCCTGCGGAATGTTAGATGAATTAAGTAAACACAAACTTTAAAATACAGGTTTTTAACAAGAAACGTGTATTTTTTCTATGTGCAATTTATGTCTGACTGTTTTTGAAAGGATTCCACAATATGTAGTTATATATGAGAAAGGTTAACATGCAGACTTGTTAAAACACGACAATGGCAATATAAAAAGAGAAGTTATTAGTTGATTTAAACTTTATCCAATTCAGGGTTTTGAACATAATTGATTTTACCCCAATATTCCTAATTTATTAATTTAGCTTTAAAGATGTCCTGAGATGAAATAACACTGGATAAAGATAAAAAAAAGTAACTTTTGGTCTCTGGTGGAGAGTTGTTTCATTGGCAATCATACCACAACTTCTTATTTTTATTAATCTACACTCCTGAATTTACCAAAGCGTAAAGTAACATTGTTTCTGTTAGAAAGAAATGTTATTAAAATAGTTTCTCGTGAAGACTACCGGTATAAAATAAGATACTATATATTTTTTTTTATCTTTTTGAATTATACAAATACATTTATTTTTGTCTTTTTCTTGTTATAGATATTCTATGAATCTTTATATACAAAGGAGTTATATGAAATTTACAGCGCACATGTCCATGTATTATTACTTACCCATGCAATGCCACAAGCACCAAAGTTAAATTCGTGGATGTTCGAACCGGTCGCCGTCAACTGTTTACAAGCGGCCCCTTGACCTTGAATATAGATGATTCCATCTTGAGCGGCATCGTTCAAAGTCAGCTTCAAACTGCTCTTTGTACAACTATCAACGGTCACTGGAAACGACCGAAATAAATAATATGTTACTAAATAAGCCATAGAATAGAAAACAACTTTGAATTATCCAAACAGAGTCTATATATTTGTTACATATTCCAGAATTTTTTTTATTAAAGCAAAGTCATGTAAATACCTTGTCATGGTCCCAAAACAGGAATCGAAAGACAGTGCAACTTTTGATATAATATGTTAATATTTTAAGTTATACATGAAAAAATTGCAAACCCTTATTCAAATGTATTGGTTATAATTTGTATTCTTTTTTGTTTATAATCTCTTCATTTTTTTAAAAATAATTTTTGGATATTCGAATATTTTAGCCTTGAGCATCACTGAAGAGACATTTATTGTCGAAAGGCGCTTTTGGTGCAGTAAAATTGGTACCGTAAATGTTATTTGTGGTTTAACACTTACGACTAGGATTAAATTGAGCCAGTGCCAAATATGATGCTTACAATATACCTACGACTAGGATTAAATTGAGCCAGTGCCCAATATGATGCTTAAAACATACTTACGATTATGATTAAATTGAGCCAGTGCCCAATATATATGATGCTTACAATATACTTCCGACTAGGATTAAATTGAGCCAGTGCCTAATATGATGCTTACAATATACCTACGACTAGGATTAAATTGAGCCATTACCCAATATGATGCTTACAATATACTTACTAGTAGGATTAAATTGAGCCAGTGCCCAATATGATGCTTACAATATACTTACTAGTAGGATTAAATTGAGCCAGTGCCCAATATGATGCTTACAATATACCTACGACTAGGATTAAATTGAGCCATTACCCAATATGATGCTTACAATATACTTACTAGTAGGATTAAATTGAGCCAGTGCCCAATATGATGCTTACAATATACTTACGACTAGGATTAAATTGAGCCGTTGTCCAATATGACGATAACAGTATTCTTACGAGTAGGATTAGATTGAGCCAGTGCCCAATATGATGCTCACATTATACTTACGAGTAGGATTAGATTGAGCCAATGCCAAATATGATGCTTACAATATACTTACGACTACGATTAAATTGAGCCAGTGCCCAATAGAATGCTCACAATATACTTTCGAGTAGGATTAAATTTAGCTAATGCCCAATATGATGCGTACAATATACCTACGAGCAGATTAAATTGAGCTAGTGGCCAATATGACGCTTACAATATACTTACGACTAGGAAAAAATTGAGCCGATGCTCAATATGATGCTTACAATATACTTACAACTAGGATTGAATTGAGCCAATGACCCAGACGATGCTAACAACAAGACAACAAGAATTATGTAAATTTCCATTCTTCTGTAATTAAACAATTTGTATTGTAAAGAAAATGCTAACAAAATTTTGTATCAAGACGGAAAAAAAAGATGATCGCATATTTTGTTTATGAATACAGACAGTCTTTTATTCTTACTTTTTATGAATATTCAAACGTAATCAATATAAAGAAAATGTTTGGGTTTTTTAATGATAAATAGGAATTAGATAGTACAATTTCTGTAAATGTGAACAATTTCTCCATTTTTGATACATGAAAATATAAACCAAAAAATACGAATAAATTAAAAAAGGTAAAGGTTTAACAAATTTGGACAATGACAATACATAAACACGGAAAATGTCTACTTAAAAACATGTATCTATGCCTTCAAAGAGCAGAAGAACAATCCTTACCTTTGTCTAACTGAGGGTACAGCCTGCAAACTGAAACATTAACACGACATTTATATACATCATTTGTTTAATAATGATATTATTTGATTAAAAAATGTAATTTATGATAAACCTGAATTATTGATTTTCATATATAATTCTTTAGATAAATACCTATGATCATGGTTTTCAAAAGGTATCCAAATGTTGATATATAAACTAATTTACATGTAATTTGATAAAGTTAAATAAGTTATGCATATGTAACAGATTTTGTTACTATCTTTAGCATTGTTATATTTGCCCCACTTCTACCAAATAACGAACCGATGCCTTGTTTATTAGCAAGACGATCAAAACCCTATGATAAGTTTCTATATATATGAGTAATATTATTAATTATTCTCCCACTTCTTCCAAATAACGAACGATCAGATGCCTTTGTTTTTAGCAAGACAATTAAAACTTAGGATAAGTTCTTATATGACTTCCATTTTCAAGGAATAAAACTGAGACAGAAGATACCATTAAAGGGAGATTCAAAACTCGTAAATCTAAAATCTAAAAATCATAATAACATAGAATAATGTTACAGAACAATGGATTTTTTATGGTAAAGTTGAAGCCTCATCTTCATAAGTTTTACGGTCGACATAATGACTTGGTTGACCGTTATGTAACTGAATTTCACTGGTCGAAGTCGTAATCCCATATCATTTTTTTTTCGATTATCGTTTTTGGGTTAATTTCTACCCAATAAACAACACAATGGGTGTTACAATTGATACAGGTAGTGTTTACTCTTTCATAAACACCTGATTTCAGCCCGAAATCAAGTGGGCTCGTGTTGCTCAACATGTTTATGTATATTTTCGTGTGGTGTTTTTTTGGACTATTGCTTGGCTTTCGTCTTCACCTATCTTGCAATTGTATTATCTGTCCTTCGTCTAAAGATTTACTTCATCTTGCAATACTATTAAAACATTTGACTTTTCTACACTTTACACAAGTATTCCCCATTCCAAACTTAAAGACAAATTGAAAGAGAAGGCCCTGCTTTGTTTCATAAAAAAAGAATGGCTAACGTAGATACAAGGCGTAAGTCGTCACGAGCAGCAAAAATAGTTAATTTTAAACTCAAAATATATATGATCACATTATCTCCGCTCCTTTTACGTAGAACTTATATAAATACATTGCCTATATATAACAAAGCAGATAAGCAGCTTAAAAATCATACATCCGGAGAGGTAAAGATCTCGTCAAATACAATATCCTTAATTAACATGGATCTGACCCTATATATTGACTTGTAGATTTTTGAAAGGATGCTTATAAACAGATATATGCAGACAAATTTGCATTTTTGTAGTTCAGAATATATATATATTTGGGCACAACAAACAAACTTCTAAATTTCAATCGGAGCAAGTTTTGGTCATAATTCTTCTATAGTTTCCAATGAAGCCTAGTACGACCGCATTAAAAACAGAAGATAGTTTCAAGTTTGAAAAATATATAAAATCATTGTTGCTGAAATCGATTAAAACCATATGAGAATTGAATATTGATTATGAACAAAAAGAGACATCTAGTATACTTCAAAGAGAACAACAAACATCCGTACATAAATAAAAAAAATCACACTCCATCTCCCATCCAAAAGAAGAGACAAAAAAAAGAAACTAAAACTAAAGCCCAACAAAATATGACATCTAAAGGTCATCACACGACCTTCCACAAGAAATAAATGTTTTATAATACCGCTAATATAAAGCTCTACGTCGCTCCTATAGATAAACGAAAAGATTAAGGGGACTATTTAAGACCAGCCGTAAAATTCCATGAAGACGAAAAAAATATTGAGATATTATTAAAAACTATCAATGATGGTGTCCGACATTTGGGCAGGTATATGAACATTGGGTATGGTGAAACCTTGTGATAGAGTGCGAAATTTGGGCAGGTATATGAATATTGGGTATGGTTAAACCTTTTAAGAGTACTGAACCCTTTCTGTTTTTTTTTTTAAATTTCCAATCAATGGAATGCAATAGTTGTTTAAAGAAAGAAGAAACAAAGGAGACAAAAATCTGAAATATTCATATTAAAGTAACCTGTCTGATGTTACAATCTTAAAAACATAGAGATAAAATGAGAAAAACGTTTTCTTTACTGTAATAAAAAAAAAGAGACGGAAGCTACTAATGGAACTATAAAAATTCGAACATATATATAAATCACTGAAAGACAAATAACCAGTCTTCCAAACTTTTCATAGAAAAACTAGATTGAACAGCACGAACATCAGCAAAACAAAGGGTTGATCGCAGCTGCTTATGAAGGGTTGTAAGATACTACTTCACATTTGGAATCCGTCGTGTTGCTCATGATAATCACATATTATGTGATGCGTCTAATTCTGTGATGTCACAATTGAGGGAAAGAAGGGGGGGGGGGGTGTTGTGGCTACACCAATTGGAATATATCCGTGGTTATTTGTGACAAAGATTTTCCATATATTTTATGGTCAACCAATTAACGATGGCAACTGTAAAACTTTCGAAGAGATGACTTGAGTTTTACCAATATGAACCTTTGTTTCAATAGCTTCCTTGTAAGCGGCAACCATCTGTCAATGAAATCATGATTGGAAACTAAAGCTCTAAACTCTACTTATGGATATATATACTCTACATGCAGACGCAACTGGAATGTTGCTACATTGTACAATGTACATATAAATGAAAAGTTTACCATTTTTGAAATCAGCTCTTGTGTCGTAAAGTTGTGTTTTCAGCCTACCCCCATTGTCAAGATATAAAGCAAACTGGCATGTATCTGTGGAATCCTTTATTTCAAGTTTTATTGGATATATGCGTTCAACATAGTCATCAAACTTTGAATTATTGAATGAGTGTCATCATCTACATAACGGCATGCGTATCTAAAGGATAATCTAGCTTCTTTTTATTTTAATTTGTTTAATGATCGATGTAATTGTCCGTAGACTTTAAATGGATTTCAATAGTAACAGTTTATATATACGTTATCTTTTACCAGATTAAAAGGTTTTCTAAATAAGTATTTTAAATATAAAACATTATCAGGAAGGAGGTGATTAGCAGCACAATTACAAAAAACAAAAGTGAATTATATGATTTATATTTCCGTTATAAAGTTAAAAAGATAAGAAACGGATATGTAGTTTTTGTTTTAAGTCAAAAAGAAATATTTCATTTCAAACGTTTTTATTTGTTTTAGAGTGGTAAGTACATTTCGTTTTTTTTATAATTTAAATCAATTATAATTAAAGATTATTTACCATGTACCATGTATTTTTTCCAGATTAATTGATTGGTTGATTGTTGCTTGTTTAAAACGTTCAATCGCACAAATTTCATGCACATTCAGGACAAAAACAATTCAATCGTTTATGCAATAGGTAAGAATTGAGCGCCGTAACTGGCGATAATTAATTTGAAGCAAAGCTCGGTAAGAAAAAAAACCGTAAGAATTAACGTGTTCATAATGGTATGTCCAAAGCTAAGCCAGTTTCTAAAATATACTTTTGAAACATCCGAGGTGTCATTAGCAAAATACATGAATTTTAAATAATCATCTTTCTACGGATAATGTAAGTATATTTGGCATGGTTGAAACCTTCTTAAAAACTAATGATAGACCTGCTAAGCTTGATGATACGTATTCATGGATCGGAAAATGCAGGAACTCAGGTAAAGATAAAGGGGATATAGGTATGTGCTTAAAATTAGACATTCCTGTTCTAGATGATTATGTTCTGAATAGTAAAGACGATAAACATGAGCGTTTGTGGGTTCTGTCTAGAACAGGCAATACCAAAACTGCTATAGGAATTGCATATTTTCCAAATAATGGTATTGATCGGGAAACAACCGATATACTCATGTATGAATTAGTTGAAAACTGCTCAAAGCTAGCAGCCTCCGGTTATGAAATTTTACTGATGGGTGACTTTAACGGAAAACGTATCGAGAAGGGTCAAATCAGTAATAGTTATACACTGAGGGATAGGTGTGTCTGGATAAGAAATCCCGACGGCCGGAGGCCGGAGGGGTTTCTTATCCAGACACGCCGTATCCCAAAGTGTATAACTAACTTACACCCGATACTAAACCCTATATTTGTTTCCATTGAATATTAAATGAAAAAGAACGGATATCATTTTTATTGACAATTTCAAACCACGATTAAGAAGAAAAATATTTTTTTTATATAAAACCTTCCTTTGACGATCTTCATTCAAACTTTGACAAGCGAGTAGATTTTACAAATGTCAAAGTTGCCGTTTTGCATATTCCCGTTAAATCCATGTGCTAATATGGATCAGCAGGACAAGGTTGGCCGTATCGTGCATTCTTATTACAAAAAAAATCATACTCCTTTTATGCAGTTGTCAATATGGACGGGGATAAGACGGGCGACATTTTGAGTCGGGCGTTGGATTTGGCAGACGAGACTGAAGATAACGCAATGTTTATAACCTAAAGTTCTTACATGTATCAGTTTGATTAAGGTAATTTTACATGTTACAGTTTTATCAAAAAAGCCCCCCCCCGCCCTTCTTCTCAACATTGAACAAACATACATATTCGAACATACTGAGGGATAGGTGTCTGGATTAGAAACCCGTCGACCGGACACGCTTAACATACAAAAAAAAAGATTGCATATGTAGGAACCCCCCTTTTTAGGGTCATCCAAGGGGGGGGGGGGGGGGGTTCAGGGGTTGGAATCTCCATATTTTTACGATCAATGTTTTAGAATGTGGACATATGGCTGGAACCTCCCTTTTATCCTGGGTTGGCACCCCCATTTAAAAATTGGCTGGATCCGCCTCTGGGTGCCATCATTAAGACTTAGTCCAAATGAAAACTATATGTTTTTAATGTATAATTCAAATAAAAGTTTTTTACATGCATGTTCTTTAAGAAATTGCCATATGGGATTAAAGTTTTAGCTTCAAGCCAAGCAAATGAGTATTTAAATGTTGTTTTTAATTCAAAATGGAAGCTAAATATTTGTTTCGCTATTGGAATTTCCTGAAATATGTCTTGAAACAACTTGTAGTGAACACTATAAGTAATCTCTTAAGTTCATGCTATTAAAAAAAAAACATTTTCTATTGTTATGAATAACAATGGACTGTGTTTCCGGGATGTAGAAGCAGGGGTTTCCAGAAACCCCGCTCGTCACACCCTGTGATCAAAATCCATTGTTATTCGTAACAATAGATCTATTCAATTTACACTTGTTTCAGAAGTAGAAACTATGAAGTATAACAATAGAACTGGGGTGTAACTAATTTTAATATCATGTGTGAATTTGCATCTTATAATGGAAAAAGGCTTCGTCAGTTTTTAAATGCAAGTGAGCTATATGTTGTTAATTGCCTCGTGGTTTGCCAAGGATTTTATACGCGTATTCTAAGAAATTCGTTTATTCGCTCCCGTCAAAAGTACAGAAAAAGAGCAGATTTTGGGATATTCATCTAGTATTAAACATCAATTGTTACCGTTTTGTATTGCCAAATGTTTCAAGTACTTGGTGACATGAAGCGAACGACGACAGCCATACAGCACATCCATGTGTAAGAGATTGTCGGATAACCGAATATCAGAGAACATCTTAAAAAGATATGTGACTAAAAGATCCGTGCGCACTTAGTAGCTTAGTCATAAAATTTAGTTCACACACACAACTATCTTTTTTAAGTAATGATTGATATGATGACCAAAGTCAAGTTATTCTTTTGTTTTATTTCATATAATATTTAAATTGTTCGTATATAAATGAGGAAATTATACAGAACTAAGGTTTCCACGTCCTAAGGCATAGTTGACCTTATATGGATTTGGCTATTTTTAAAATCTTGGTCATATAGCTCTTCAACTGTTTCGATTCTTTAATATGTCCTTGGCTCTAAAATATTCAGTTTTAAGCGTTCCTGATGAATGTAAATCTAGAAAAACGCTTCCGACGCTTGAAATTTTATGTTATATATGTAATTGTTTATCGATCGATTTATTATTCTGAAAATATGCAATTCAGATAGCTGTTTTGGTTTTAACTAATCTAGTTAAAGTCCACAAACACTCATACTTATCGTTTTTCAGATTTACCTCATATCCTGAATTTTCCGATCCATGTATAAAGCTCTAAATGGCCTAAAGTCAAATCAAGTGGTATAAAAATCCGTGGGCCATAACGTTGAAATTAAACAACCCCAGTTTTTTGCATCTTTAAAATAGCATTTTTTTCAAAATTATAATACTTCTTTAATTCAACCTTTATCTTTTGAAAGTTTTTATATAAGGTAAAGTTAACATATGGGATGGGATCGATTAAACGATTTTCTTGATAGACGATCGGATCCTGCACTGAGTAACATACAGATATAGATATGAAAGACAAGAGTCAAATTTATAATAAACATTGAAATACAACACGCTCTTCGTCCTTGAATGCCCGCATTCTTTAATTTGCCGACAAACAATAGTCATTAGAAAAACAATAAGGTTTTTTTTTCGCGTAATGGAAAAACCTTTATTTGTGCCGGTAAGCTTAGTCTTTTTGTTAAAATTCAAGGTAATATTTCTATCTAATGATTTAAATTTGTGTATTTTGCAGAGATTGAAAATAAAACTTGTATCTATTTAAGGAATGACTGTAATATTTTTTCTGTCTATGAAGAAATAACATCAAAAATGTGGTGCACATTGAATAACCCGCGTAGCGGGTTATTTTAAAGTGTGCACCACATTTTTTATGCTATTTCGAATAGACAGAAAACATATTACAGTCATTTCTTATAATTTAATTCTAAATTCCATTTTAAACCTGAGTAAACCATGAAAACGTTGATGACGTCACGGTCACATGACAAAATTATGTCTATGAGCTGATAAACAATACAACGTCAGCCAATCAGAAGACGCGTTACATCCAAAATTAAATTATTGTTAACTACTCATTGAAAGCAAATTAAGAATAACTAATATAAGGAATATATTTTCACATATACAGTTTTCAAAGGACACTAATATTGCATAATCGATCATGTTAACAAGCACACACATAATTATACAAAGCACTATTATATAAAGTACATAAACCGTGACATATAAAGCTCTATAGAAAGTACATATCTATCAAAGCACATTATATTAAGCACATACTATTAACGATTAAAATGTAAAGTCATATCACAAGACACTTTATTGTCAATTTAGTTTAAGTGTAGTAGGCATGTGGCAGTATCTACAAACTGAAATGAATAAATTTTAATTTCTCTGTATTTCCGTATCCGTCAAACACACATTCAACCTGCAGCACACTGGAGTTGTTGACACCTGGTATGTCCCTCTTGTCGTTGAAGTCGTTCCATGAGATGGAATATGTAAGGATCTTGAACTTTAAGCTATTTCTTGATCTTTGAATGCCAGCATTCTAGATTGTTGGTAGTCCGTAGTCATTCTGTTCTAGTTTAGTGCGAGAAACTAACAGTACCAGTAAGTGAATGTATGCGTTGTTGCTGTCTAATTTTGTAAGGCTATTGTGTCATTCTCCAGTTGCATATGTAGTATGACCGAAGCATCCCTTCTTGGTGCTATAGCTATAGGAGCTTAAGAGTTGTCTCATGGGCAATCATACCACATCTTCTTTTTTATGTTAACTTTTGTAGCAAATACTAGTATTTGAAACAAGTGTAGTAGATTGGGATGTTACCTCCCTTCTTTAACTTCAAAATTCATATTGGTTAATAAATATGTTATTTAATGTTTAATCATTATAAATGGGGTAACAAAACAAAAAAACAAAAAAAAAAACAAAAAAATGTGAATAGATTTTGTTTTTCATAATTATAAAGACGTTTATTGATATTTAGAAAATGATTTATTATGTTTCGAAAATTAAAAAAAAATAATGACCAAAATTTGGAAGTTTTGAAATTTATACCTATAATATTTAGCTAACTTTATCAAATTGTCTGATGACTGGCGACCAGTCCACATAAAGGTTAGCCGAGATAATCCAAACCTTTCAGGCTAGTGTAACTGCCTCTTACCTGCACCGATTCATATGCCGTCATTTGCTCCATTTTGATATATTTGAAAATTTACATGCTAAACGTTGTATTTGGATAATAAATCAACAGTTAGTTTACACTATTTTTGTTTCAATGATTTTTGACTTTTAGCGTTATTACATTTGACATCCATCGTCAATCAGTCAATTATCTGGCATAGCTGTAGTCCGCATCCCCGAATCCCTAGCAGAATTGGTCCTGCTACAAAACTTTGAAATTTATATCATCACAAAACGCGCAAGATTTTATAAAATTAATTAAATCATGTATAGCGGAACGATTTATGGTAGAACAATTTTCTATCAATGGACCTGTTTACAATTTTATAACAAGTCAAATAGCGAATGTATCAATGTATTGACGTAACTTCATCATTAGAATCCGTGTACACTACCTATAAGTATTCATGTGTCACTAACTTATATACACCAAACCACCATAAACAACCCCCAACCCAATACAAAGGGAGTATTAGGACACAGGGAAAAGTCAGTTATTATAGTGAAGGAGCCGTAGTTATCGTAGAGAGCCTCGACAAGAAAAGACAAACCGAAGAGATATTTGCAGATTGATCTCAGGTCAAAGTCGGGGCAATATTGACCAATCCAGACCCCAAAATATCCATTCTAGTTTAAACTCCGGTCTGGGTACCAGATATGTGTGTGGGAGGGTGAAAATCACCCTTCTAATGTACTGAAATTTTCAGCACCCGTGTCAAAATTGAACTCGGGACCTTCAACACTGTAGTCATCGGTCTTAACCACTACGACACGGACCTAAATTTTCAAAATACAGTTTAAGGTCACATGTCAAAAGTCCAATGTACTTAAGGAATGACTGTAATATATTTTCTGTTTATGAAGAAATAACATAAAGAAATCTGAAATGTGATGCACACTAAATAACCTGCGTAGCGGTTTATTTAAAAGTGTTCACCACCTTTTTGAGGTTATTTCGAATAGACAGAAAAAAATATTACAGTCATTCCTCATAATTTAATTCTGAATTCCAATTTTAAGGGATAAACCATGAAAAAACGTCGATGACGTCACGGGCACATGACAACGTTATGTCTATGAGCTGATAGAAAAAAACTTTCAGCCAATCAGAAGACGAGTTACATCCAAAATCAAATTATACTAAAAAAAAAAAAACGCACGAGCGCGGCTTGAAGACTTCTTGAAATGTTTAAGGTGATACACAGCTTGGGTTCGTGATGGGGGGTGGTTAGGATGAAAAATTTTGTCCTGCCTTTTTTTTAGTTGTAATCTCTGTCCTGCCTTTTTATTTTTCACTCTTTTCGGTCCTGCCTTTTTTTATTAGTTGTCCTGACTTTTTTTACATAAATTGTCATCCTGACTTTTTTTTTTGCCAAGTTGCTCATCCTGCCTTTTTTTTTACTCAAAACTCCTGACCTGCTTTTTTTCCAAATTTCATCCATACGTTTTTCATGTGTTTTTTTTTTTTTGGATTTAAGAATATCATTTAGGGTATTTAAAGTACTAGAAACAAGAAAGTCCTTATATATAAATATATATAAATAATAATAATAAATAAAATTCTTTATTTAACGAATTATTTATGAATAATAGGAATACTATATTTGGTATATGAGTTCCTTGCAATGTCTACATGTCCATCAGACAGGGTTCACCTTAACTCGACCTCATTTCATGGATCAGTGATCTAGGTTATAGTAACATGATTAGGTCCGTTTCTCGGATACTATAAACAATAGGATAAGTATATGTGGTGTATGGAATGATTGTAAGGTGTATATGTCTGTCTGGCAGGTATTATCTGACCTTGACCTCTTTTTCATGGTTCATTGGTCAATGGCAAGTTCTTGTGTTTTGGTCTGTTTTTGAATTACCATGAGCAAAAGGTCAACTATATTTGGTGTATGGAATAATTGTAAGGTGTACATGTCTATCTGTGCACTCTTGTTATTTAATAGCGCTCTTCCGATTTTTTTTTTGACACCATCTGGATCCGCTTCTAACATACTAATGGCCTAGTTCATTCCAAATCCTTTTTCCAAAAATATTATATTGTATTTTATATTTTTGTGCATTTGATAGATGGGTAACAGTTCTTCTCAAAAAGAGAGAGATCCGTTGATGTCAGAAAAATGTCGGAACGCAAGACAGAAAATTAAGGTCTCACGTGAGAAATTCTTGTTAGATTTGCACGAAGAATGTGACCAATGCTCTGATGATATAGGTGAGTTATATATGTATTAATGATGCTCTGATGATATAGGTGAGTTATATATGTATTAATGATGCTCTGATGATATAGGTGAGTTATATATGTATTAATGATGCTCTGATGATATAGGTGAGTTATATATGTATTAATGATGCTCTGATGATATAGGTGAGTTATATATGTATTAATGATGCTCTGATGATATAGGTGAGTTATATATGTATTAATGATGCAACATGTTTAAAAGACAAAATAAAACATGAATACTAATGTACTAGTGTGATACATTGATTTATCAAACCAAGAGATATATTATATTCCCCGAGTAAAACAGTCGAGGAATCAGTTAAAACATGCAAGATTTCCTATATATTTTTCAATTCTATTGGATATGTTAAAGTATGCTCACAGTTTAGATAACACAAAGGAGGGTTCATTAAATGACGCATATATTGTATTAAAGAGAAAAATCTAAAAAATATTATAACATCGTTTTCAAGTTTTGATTTTTCAATGAAAGAACTAGACTTATCAAACTTAATTGTAAATTTTGGCCGATTATGTACTATAGTTAAGAGGGGCCTGATGGATTATTTTCGTTCTTCGTGATCGGCGCATTTTCGCTATCGTGATCTGTTTTTCTACAGATTTTTTTTTTATATTTTCGTGATCCGTGATCATGGAAATTTATTTTCTGTGAATCGTGATTGACAAAAAAATCAACTCGTGAATCGTGATGAGACCCCCCCCCCCATCAGGCCCCTCAGTTAAGGATAACCTATGTGAAAGTTTTCTGAATTATTGGAAAGTATTAGAGAAAAGACTAATTAATCAAATAAAGGTAAACTCTTGACAATTAGTTTTGTTTTTTGGTACAGAGAAATAATTGGAATTAAAATAATTTAAAGATAGGCGAGCACTTTGTAAGATCAGAATAAGATCACACACCCTTAAGATATGCAAAACATATTATGGATAAATCACAAAGGTTACGTACAAAATGAATGTTGGATAAAGAAGAAGATGAAGAATTTTTTATATGCGAATGTCCCCTTTATAATCTTTGAAGAAAATAGTTGTATGATAAAATTTTGATAAGTTGTGTACATTTCGAAGTTCTAACCACAAGTGCCATTTTCAGTTGGATCTTTATTCAAGAAAACCTAGAAGTATTGAACATAATTTGAACTTATATTGATAAATGTTTTGAACTTACCCATTAGGAATATTTGCCAGTTATATTTCATATAATCTGTTTTATTAATGCTTTTTTGCACGTATGCTTATGGTTCTGGTCTGGCTGTGTCTTATGATCTTAAAATTCAGTGGATTATATTCATATTTATATATGATCGTAAAAATTGTGTCTCTCAATTATATAAAATCATTTTAATAGATGACTTTGTTCTTCCTGGGCCCTATAATTGAAATAAAAATAGCTTTATTTTTGTAAGAAGATAACACAGGGACCGTTAAAAATTCTGAGTTGTAGAGATACAGACAATACAATGACTAAAGAAAAAAGACAATCTGACAAAGAACAGTCCACAGAACACTACACACAAAACTTAAGATTGAGCAACTTCAACACCATCAGACCCAGTTGATTAGTTTACGGCTACTTAATGTTCAGCAGAAAACAAAAACATTCATACTCAATAACATGCTAATGAGATTGGTAAAAGATTTTTTTAATAGCTTTCACTCATAGAAAAGCGCAGAAATGTCAATAAAAGGTATGATCACTATTCACTTTATCTGCATGAGAAATTAATGATGATGAATATGGATTGGTTTTAAACGTTCAATGGAAAATATTACATGCATGCCAGAACATGTAAACGTGATATGAAATAAACTCTGTTTTTTATGTGCTAGTTTACATGTTAAGATTCCATAGGAAGATATGGCACCCTACCCGGATAAATTATTTCGACTCAGAACCGATTCGTCTTTGTTCTTGCTTACGATACAGTTAGGGGAGGTAATGACGTTGCTAACATAAAATCTTATTTTCGCGACGTCAAACTGTGACATATCGGGAAAAGATGCATTTTTCGACTGATTTTAATCATTAGCTTGATTTGTCTTGATTAAGTATGAAGATGATGTGTACAAATAAAAAACTTTTTTTTTTTCAAATTAGATAAATATTTATCAAAAGAAACCCCTTTTTTTTTTAATAAAATCAGGAACATTTAATAAAACTGAATTATTTCCAAACAATTGTTATCATGGATCAAACATAGGACATTATGAGACGAGCACGCTACTATGAGACGCTAATTTTGAGGTTTTGACAAAATAAAACGCTTCGCACATTGCTAACTAACTATGTATCCTTACTTTTCTGCATTATTTCATCTTTTTATTTTAGATTAGTTTAAATTTAACAAACATGACTAACACGTGTTTCAATACAACATTTTGACCACTTTGTCAAACTTTATTTGACGTGAATACAACAACATTTTGTTATAATTCCGGAATTTGAATTAAATGAATTAAGATTTGAAACGCAATTTCATTCCGATTATATAATGAATAACTTCAAAAGTTTCGTATTTTAGATGTGGATTACAACTCATTACCGCATCATGGTGACGCAGATTGTAGCGAGATTGATCCAACACAATATAGTTTTCCTTTTGAAAATCTGGTACTAGAAGGAGGAGGAGTCAAGGGTATTGTTTACGGTGGACTTGGAAGGGTAAAGTAATGTGTAGATCTAAAATAATGACAAAAAATGCAGTCTATCTTGGTTGCAATAAATAATTTGGTGCTAAATTTTTACATTTTTACCTGTAATGTCTGTTTGTTTTGCTCACACATTGTTGTCAATATATTGGAATTCTATGCGACTGTCATACATAAAGGCAACAGTAGTATACCGCTGTTCAATAGTCATAAATCGATTAAGCGAAAACAAATCCGGTCACAAACAAAAAACCGAGGAAACACATCAACTATAAGAGGAAAACAAAGGAACAACAGAAACACTGAACTGTTTACAAGTGAGAGGTTTAGCTAGCTATAACGCCAGGTTTTATCCACCATTTTAAAAAGGAAAATGTACCAAATCAGGAATATGACAGTTGTTTTCCATTCGTTTGATGTGTTTGAGTTTTTGATTTTGCCATTTGAAGGCACTTTCTGTTTTGAATTTTCCTTGGAGTTCGGTATTTTTGCTATTTTACGTTTTGTATATACGCTCCATGTTTAAAGCTTTTTTTTAAATAGCCTAACTTAGAAATGTATTGAATTATAAAAAAAACAAAAACTAAATTTAGTTTTGTAGGAACATTGCATAACAATTGAGAATTCGCCAAGGCTTATTGAAATTTAACTCATCATAAAAAGCAGAATTAAGATTTAATACGCCAGGCGCGCGTTTTGTCTGCGAAAGACTCAACAATGACGCTCGAATCAAAAGAATAAAAGAGGGCAAATAAAATACGAAGCTGAAGGGCATTGAAGACCAAAAATTCCGAAAGGTTTTGCCAAATACAGCTAATTTAATGAATCCTTATAATGTGGAAAAATTCAAAGTTTGGTTTACAGATTATTTATAATCATGACCATATCAATGATAATTCGTGTCAACACTGAAGTGCTGAATACTGGGCTGGTGATACCCTCGGGGAGGAAACCTCCACCAGCAGTAGCAACGAACCAGTGGCTGAAAATAAACTCATAGATATAAAAATCAAAATGTGCTATCCTTATCAGTGGATAAGATTTAATTAAAATAACTACAACGGACAAGACTATGACCAAAAAGAAACAAATGACAATCAACAATTATACATAAAACTCCGCAAGCGTAAGCAGTTCCTGTTCCACAAGTGTCCTCCGTCGTGTTACGCATTGTATCAAATAATGCGTATATTAGTCTCCAATCGAGGAAAAGGACGGCATTGTGGTTACGACATCGTAACCAGCAATGATTACTAGCATATCAAGATCTTTGTCTAAGTTGTGCATGTTTTTTTTTTTTAATTTTTAGGAGCCAGGAGTCGGTGGTAGATAAACTCCAAACTCACAACTCACAACTCCTCAAGTTACCGCCCAGTACAACAGACCACATCTACCAGAAACACCTGACTCCCGACTCCTCAAGCGACCACACAGTACAACATAACACATCTACCACCAACTCTTGACTTCCGACTCCTCAAACGACCACACAGTACAACATAACACATCTACCACCAACTCCTGACTCCCGACTCCTCAAACTACCGCACAGTACAACATAACACATCTACCACCAACTCTTGACTCCCGACTCCTCAAACTACCACACAGTACAACATAACACATCTACCACAAACTCCTGACTCCCGACTCCTCAAACTACCACACAGTACAACATAACACATCTACCACCAACTCTTGACTCCCGACTCCTCAAACTACCACACAGTACAACATAACACATCTACCACCAACTGCTGACTCCCGACTCCTCAAACTACCGCACAGTACAACATAACAAATCTACCACAAACTCCTGACTCCCGACTCCTCAAACTACCACACAGTACAACATAACACATCTACCACCAACTCTTGACTCCCGACTCCTCAAACTACCACACTGTACAACATAACACATCTACCACCAACTCCTGACTCCCGACTCCTCAAACTACCGCACAGTACAACATAACACATCTACCACCAAATCCTGACTCCCGACTCCTCAAACTACCACACAGTACAACATAACACATCTACCACCAACTCTTGACTCCCGACTCCTCAAACTACCGCACAGTACAACACACCACATCTACCACAAACTCCTGACTCCCGACTCCTCAAGCGACCACACAGTACAACATAACACATCTACCACCAACTCTTGACTCCCGACTCCTCGAACTACCACACAGTACAACATAACACATCTACCACCAACTCCTGACTCCTCAAACTACCGCACAGTACAACATAACACATCTACCACCAACTCTTGACTCCCGACTCCTCAAACTACCACACAGTACAACATAACACATCTACCACCAACTCTTGACTCCCGACTCCTCAAACTACCACACAGTACAACATAACACATCTACCACCAACTCTTGACTCCCGATTCCTCAAACTACCACACAGTACGACATAACACATCTACCACCAACTCTTGACTCCCGACTCCGCAAACTACCACACAGTACAACATAACACATCTACCACCAACTCTTGACTCCCGACTCCTCAAACTACCACACAGTACAACATAACACATCTACCACCAACTCTTGACTCCCGACTCCTCAAACTACCACACAGTACAACATAACACATCTACCACCAACTCTTGACTCCCGACTCCTCAACCTACCACACAGTACAACATAACACATCTACCACCAACTCTTGACTCCCGACTCCTCAAACTACCGCACAGTACAACATAACACATCTACCACCAACTCTTGACTCCCGACTCCTCAAACTACCGCACAGTACAACATAACACATCTACCACCAACTCCTGACTCCTCAAACTACCGCACAATACAAAAGAGAGGCGAAAGATACCAGAGGGTCATTTAAACTCATACGTCGAAAATAAACTGACAACGACATGGCTAAAAAGAAAAAACAACAGACAAACAATAATACACAAAACACAACATAGAAAACTAAAGACTTAGCAACACAAACCCCACCAAAAACGGGGGGGGGGGTCTCAAGTGCCCCGGAAGATAAGCAGATCCTGCTCCACATGTGGCACCCGTCGTGTTGCTCATGTTAGTACAAACCCTGTAATGAGTCTAATTCGATAGGTCACATTCATGAAAAGGGGACGGAATTGTAGTTACGATATTAGCAACATATCCGCTATCATCTGTGAAACGGATACTAGTATTCAATAATGGTCAACCAACTCGTGATGGCGTCCGTAGAATTTACGAACGTATGATTTTAACTTCACCATTTGGAATTCTTGGTTGAATAGCTTCATTGTGAGCAGCAACCCTCTTCAAGGAAATCATTATAGGAAATACCAGCCCGGGAATATCGTGTCAATTGGGAGATATATACTCCGTATGCAGGCGCTGCTGGAATGTTGCTACATAGAAATGGAAATTTCACAATTGGGAAGCTGAAATCATCTCTTTTGTCGTAGAGTTTTGTTTTCATCCTACCCTCATTGTCAATGTCTAGATGTAAGTCAAGATATGAGGCCGACTTAATTGTATCTGTCGTATCCTTTATCTCAAGTATCTCGATGGGATAGATTCTTTCAACATAGTCACCAAATTTTGAATTATTTAGTGAGAGAACATCATCTATATAGCGGAAAGTAAAGTTAAAGGATAGTGCTTACTTCTTTTCTTTCTTCCTAAGAAGTTTCTATATGAAGTCAGCCTCATAAGAATAAAGGAAGAAGTCGACAAGAAGAAGGACACAGTTGGTTCCCATGGGAATGCCGATTGTTTGTTGAAAAACACGTCCTCCAAACGTAACAAATATGTTGTCAATCAATAAATCAAGCATCTTGATAATGTCAGTTTCAGAGAATTTTTTGTTTGTTTTTTACAAAGTAGGATTCATCCCTCCCCAAGACAAGATACCTGTATCTACATTGGCCATTCTTTTTTATGAAACAAAGCAAAACTAACTCTTTCAGTTTGTCTTTTAGTTTGGAATGGGGAATACTTGTGTAAAGTTTAGAAAAGTTAAATGTTTTAATACTATTGCAAGATGACAGAGTCTTAGATTGTATGTACTCTATAAACATACCACATCGACCACAAACTCCTGACATATCTAAATACCGCAGATTACAACATACCACATATACCACCAACTCTCGACTCCTCAAACTACCGCACAGTACAACAGATCACATCTACCACCAACTCTCGAGTCCTTTAACTTCCGCACAGTACATCAGAACACATCTACCACAAACTCCCGACTCCTTAAAATACCGCACAGTACAACAGCCTATCTGTTGTACTATGCGGTAGTTTGAGGAGTCGGGAGTCAGGAGTTGATGGTAGATGTGGTCTGTTTTACTGTGTGGTATTTTGAGGAGTCGAAAGTTGGTAGTAGATGTGGTCTGTTGTACTGTGCGGTAGTTTGAGGAGTCGGGAGTTGATGGTAGATGTGGTGTGTCGTACTGTGCGGTAGTTTGATGAGTCAGGAGTCAGAAGTTAGCGGTAGATGTAGTATGTTGTATTGTGTGGTAGTTTGAGGAGTCGGGAGTCAGGATTTAGTGGTAAATGTGGTTTTTTGTACTGTGCGGTAGTTTGAGGAGTGGGGAGCTGGTGGTAGATGTGGTCTGTTGTACTGAGCGATAGCTTGAGGAGACGGAAGTTTGTGGGGGCATTTATTTGGTAGCTAATGCCAATTTCATTAAGGAGTCAATTTGAATTCGCGTCAATGTTTGAATAAACCATGTTATATTTCAAATTTTAAGGAGCTTGAAAAACATGGAATTTTAAAACAGATTCACAGATTTGCTGGCGCCAGCGCAGGGTCTATATGTGCTGCATTGTATGCTGTCGGATTCAATTCATACGATGTCGAGCAAATTATGAGGGTTAACCTAGAACCTATTATTTGTGGTAAGCGTAATACTATGATTATATATTTTATTAACAATATTTCTTTTGATAACCATACACATTATATTTAAATATTTTAGAAACAAAAAACACTTGAAAATTACACTACAAACCAGTAAAAGTCTGAAATGGCCTATGTCTGTACTCTTCTGTACTGATTTTTACTCGACCAGTGTGAATTGGTCTGAATTTTACCTGATATTGCTCGACCCAAATCTTAACCATACTCGACTGTACTGATTTGTACTTGACCCTTATCTTTGCCATTGAAAAGAGTCTGAACTATTACTTGACCAGTCTGAAACCGTCTTAACCCATTCTCGATCTGTACTCGACCAGTTCTCGACCTATTTTTGCAACCTGAACCATACTCGACCTAAGGTTTGAACAATGCTCGACCTGTCTGACCCATACTTGACCAAAAAACGTGTACTTTTTTGAAATTTTACTGTTAAAGTAACGTTCTTTTTAACTGAAACGTCAACAACCTCACAATAAAGTAAAGATATATAAAAACAGATTTTTTTAACAAAACGCATTTGACTAGCAGGTCGAACAACTGATGTTCTTAAACCCTGCTGACTGCCATTGGCGATTACCAAATAAACGGATCACAAGATGTAACAAAATAGATCTTATTATTAATTTTTTTACCAAACAGAAAACAATAAACTTGCGGAAAAGATGGTATACCGCAAACATGAGGTGCAAAAATTTGTACACCGTAACCGGATTTCGACAATTAATGTCTCTTCAGTGATGTTAGGAATCGAAACGGTATTTAGAAGGCCATATAATTTACCTCAATTTAGGATAGACTCTTGAATTTTGAAAGAGTCAAAATAGGATGAACGGATCATATAAACCGGAAGGCAAATATAATACAAGCCCATACGAAAAAATATAAACAAGTCTAAATTGAAAACAACGTTCAAGCCTATGATTGCGTTGGATAAAAACCGCATTTTTATACGTGTGCATGCAAAACAAATTTCTTGGAAGAGGGGTCTAAATACAGCACAAACAACATGTTCCAAAAGACCAAATGAGTGAAAAAGTATATTTAAACAAAACGCATTTGACTAGCAGGTCGAACAACTGATGTTCTTAAATCCTGCTGACTGCCATTGGCGATTGCCAAATAAACGGATCACAAGATGTAACAAAATAGATCTTATTACTAATTGTTAACCAAACAGAAAACAATAAATTTGCGGAAAAGATGGTATACCGCAAACATGAGGTGCAAAAATTTGTACACCATAACCGGATTTCGATAATTAATGTCTCTTCAGTGATGTTAGGAATCGAAACGGTATTTGGAAGGCCATATAATTTACCTCAATTTAGGATAGACTCTTGAATTTTGAAAGAGTCAAAATAGGATGAACGGATCATGTAAACCCGAAGGCAAATATAATACAAGCTCATACGAAAAAATATAAACAAGTCTAAACTGAAAACAACGTTCAAGCCTATGATTGCGTTGGATAAAAACCGCATTTTTATACGTGTGCATGCAAAACAAATTTCTTGGAAGAGGGGTCTAAATACAGCACAAACAACATATTCCAAAAGACCAAAATGAGTGAAAAAGTATATTTTAACAAAACGCATTTGACTAGCAGGTCGAACAACTGATGTTCTTAAATCCTGCTGACTGCTATTGGCGATTGCCAAATAAACGGATCACAAGATGTAACAAAATAGATCTTATTATTAATTGTTTACCAAACAGAAAACAATAGACTTGCGAAAAAGATGGTATACCGCAAACATAAGGTGCAAAACTTTGTACACCATAACCGGATTTCGACAATTAATGTCTCTTCAGTGATGTTTGGAATCGAAACGGTATTTGGAAGGCCATATAATTTACCTCAATTTAGGATAGACACTTGAATTTTGAAAGAGTCAAAATAGGATAAACGGATCATATAAACCCGAAGGCAAATATAATACAAGCCCATACGAAAAAATATAAACAAGTCTAAATTGAAAACAACGTTCAAACCTATGATTGCGTTGGATAAAAACCGCATTTTTATACGTGTGCATGCAAAACAAATTTCTTGGTAGATGGGTCTAAATACAGCACAAACAACATTTTCCAAAAGACCGAATGAGTGAAAAAGTATATTTTAATAAAAAACATTTGACTAGCAGGTCAAATAACTGATGTTCTTAAACCCTGCTGACTGCTATTGGCGATTGCCAAATAAACGGATCACAAGATGTAACAAAATAGATCTTATTATTAATTTTTTTACCAAACAGAAAACAATAAACTTGCGAAAAAGATAGAATACCGCAAACATAAGGTGCAAAAATTTGTACACCATAACCGGATTTCGACAATTAATGTCTCTTCAGTGATGTTAGGAATCGAAACGGTATTTGGAAGGCCATATAATTTACCTCAATTTAGGATAGACTCTTGAATTTTGAAAGAGTCAAAAAAGGTGAACGGATCATATAAACACAAAGGCAAATATAATACAAGCCCATACGAAAAAATATAAACAAGTCTAAATTGAAAACAACGTTCAAACCTATGATTGCGTTGGATAAAAACCGCATTTTTATACGTGTGCATGCAAAACAAATTTCTAGGTAGATAGGTCTAAATACAACACAAACAACATTTTCCAAAAGACCAAATGAGTGAAAAAGTATATTTAAACAAAACGCATTTGACTAGCAGGTCGAACAACTGATGTTCTTAAACCCTGCTGACTGCCATTGGCGATTGCCAAATAAACGGATCACAAGATGTAACAAAATAGATCTTATTATTAATTGTTTACCAAACAGAAAACAATAAACTTGCGAAAAAGATGGTATACCGCAAACATAAGGTGCAAAACTTTGTACACCATAACCGGATTTCGACAACTAATGTCTCTTCAGTGATGTTTGGAATCGAAACGGTATTTGGAAGGCCATATAATTTACCTCAATTTAGGATAGACACTTGAATTTTTAAAGAGTCAAAATAGTATAAACAGATCATATAAACCCGAAGGCAAATATAATACAAGCCCATACGAAAAAATATAAACAAGTCTAAATTGAAAACAACGTTCAAACCTATGATTGCGTTGGATAAAAACCGCATTTTTATACGTGTGCATGCAAAACTAATTTCTTGGTAGATGGGTCTAAATACAGCACAAACAACATTTTCCAAAAGACCGAATGAGTGAAAAAGTATATTTTAATAAAAAAGCATTTGACTAGCAGGTCAAATAACTGATGTTCTTAAACCCTACTGACTGCTATTGGCGATTGCCAAATAAACGGATCACAAGATGTAACAAAATAGATCTTATTATTAATTTTTTTTACCAAACAGAAAACAATAAACTTGCGAAAAAGATGGTATACCGCAAACTTAAGGTGCAAAAATTTGTACACCATAACCGGATTTCGACAATTAATATCTATTCAGTGATGTTAGGAATCGAAACGGTATTTGGAAGTCCATATAATTTACCTCAATTTAGGATAGACTCTTGAATTTTGAAAGAGTCAAAAAAGGTGAACGGATCATATAAACACAAAGGCAAATACAATACAAGCCCATACGAAAAAATATAAACAAGTCTAAATTGAAAACAACGTTCAAACCTATGATTGCATTGGATAAAAACCGCATTTTTATACGTGTGCATGCAAAACAAATTTCTTGGTAGATGGATCTAAATACAGCACAAACAACATTTTCCAAAAGACCAAATGAGTGAAAAAGTATATTTAAACAATACGCATTTGACTAGCAGGTCGAACAACTGATGTTCTTAAATCCTGCTGACTGCCATTGGCGATTGCCAATTAAACGGATCACAAGATGTAACAAAATAGATCTTATTACTAATTGTTAACCAAACAGAAAACAATAAATTTGCGGAAAAAATGGTATACCGCAAACATGAGGTGCAAAAATTTGTACACCATAACCGGATTTCGATAATTAATGTCTCTTCAGTGATGTTAGGAATCGAAACGGTATTTGGAAGGCCATATAATTTACCTCAATTTAGGATAGACTCTTGAATTTTGAAAGAGTCAAAATAGGATGAACGGATCATGTAAACCCTAAGGCAAATATAATACAAGCTCATACGAAAAAATATAAACAAGTCTAAATTGAAAACAACGTTCAAACCTATGATTGCGTTGGATAAAAACCGCATTTTTATACGTGTGCATGCAAAACAAATTTCTTGGTAGAAGGGTCTAAATACAGCAGAAACAACATTTTCCAAAAGACCAAAATGAGTGAAAAAGTATATTTTCACAAAACGCATTTGACTAGCAGGTCGATCAACTGATGTTCTTAAACCCTGCTGACTGCCATTGGCGATTACCAAATAAACGGATCACAAGATGTAACAAAATAGATCTTATTATTAATTTTTACCAAACAGAAAACAATAAACTTGTGGAAAAGATGGTATACCGTAAACATGAGGTGCAAAAATTTGTACACCATATCCGGATTTCGATAATTAATGTCTCTTCAGTGATGTTAGGAATCGAAACAGTATTTGGAAGGCCATATAATTTACCTCAATTTAGGATAGACTCTTGAATTTTGAAAGAGTCAAAATAGGATGAACGGATCATGTAAACCCGAAGGCAAATATAATACAAGCTCATACGAAAAAATATAAACAAGTCTAAATTGAAAACAACGTTCAAACCTATGATTGCGTTGGATAAAAACCGCATTTTTATACGTGTGCATGCAAAACAAATTTCTTGGTAGAAGGGTCTAAATACAGCACAAACAACATTTTCCAAAAGACCAAAATGAGTGAAAAAGTATATTTTCACAAAACGCATTTGACTAGCAGGTCGATCAACTGATGTTCTTAAACCCTGCTGACTGCCATTGGCGATTACCAAATAAACGGATCACAAGATGTAACAAAATAGATCTTATTATTAATTTTTACCAAACAGAAAACAATAAACTTGTGGAAAAGATGGTATAC